GTTCCTGTGGCACCGCAGGGAGACCATGACGCTGTCGTGGATGGATGGCGACGGAGCCATCCTGGGTGCTGCTTGTTGTTTGATGATCTCGTGGCGGGTGGTCTGTGAAATTTCGTTCACGTGGAAATTCAATTCAATTTATCTAAAACTGTCCATAATCTGTCAATTGCGTGAACGCGAAATCCCATAAATGGAACCAGAGCCGGCCCAGCCACTAAGCGACCCTTGCAATTGCAAAGGGCCCCGTGGCCAGCAGAGGGCCCCCTAGAGTCACTGCTAGCTAGTGGGTGAAAAAAATCATACATCAAAGGGGCCTCCAACCAAATTTTGCTTAGGGCCCCCAAAGGTCTAGGGCCGGTTCTGAATGGAACATTCGTAAATCGACGGATGCCATTATAAACGATTCCCGGACGCCAGGTGGCAACCCTACACCAGCAATTCTAATCCTTGTTTAGCTACTGAATTTAAGTTTCAACCGAGTACCCCCTTGCCTGACCCAACATGGTTCTGAGAAACAAATGTATGAATATTTTAACCAATTGCCCATTTTGTGTGGTATGCTAATGTCTCGGTCTCACGGTGCGCTGCGTTGCACCGCTATCCGAGTAGTTAACCTCACATTCAATAAACCTTCAGTCAGGGTGAACATCCAACTCCAACGTATTTAATGAATGAAACGAAGTAAAACTGATGGAAAAACACAGCACAAAATACAGCATCTGTTAATAATTGCAATATCAATACAATGAATGAACACTGCAGCATCATAACATTGTTTTAGATAATATGAATCTCAACAATAGATGGACCAGGCACCTACATTAGCTATACAAGATAATAATCTGTGTTAAATAAGGTCACTTTTGTGTAATCACCATACTGCAGCATGAATGTATCTTGCTGCATATAACACTGAACTGTGGATGAGATACTTCTTCATCCTTGGTCTCAAGAACGCATTAAAGTTACATGGGGACAAGTCTGGCTCGACTTATGCAACTACAAATAACATTCACAATAATGCAAGTGGCAGGCTTCGTTGTTAACTAGGCCCCATATTAATCATAGCAATTTAACAGCATTATAAAGGCATTTACAGCATTATAATGGCCAGTCCTAATATTATAATAGCATTCCCAGTATTATATAAACAATTACGAACTTACAGACAATGCTTCTTAAAGTCCCGCAATGAACAGATGCACCCGTCTTCACTGAGACGCTAATTGTGCCTCCATTTTGTACTCTGTGTAATGGCTGACACCCCTGCCTGGCCTCAGTGACTGAGAGACCCTTAACTCGTAACTTCCTGGTCACGTGACCAAACTCAATACCGTCATATCAGGAAGTTCCTGCGTAAACACACCTCCATATCTGCCGTGGGGCGGAACACCTAACTAGCTAGGCACTGCGAACTAATAAAAACAAAATCAACAGACGCCCTGCATGCGTGAAGTCATTTGTTCATGCTCGCTGATTACTCTTGGAAACCACATTTATGATCAGCGAGTTTAGAACGGTCTTTTATATCGTAATAGTTTACCATTGGGATTTAAATTATATCGTAGTTTTTATATTAGCAGATTCATTAATGATTATTTACCAATGACTCTCACGTATGATGTCACATTTATAAATCACCTCACATACCCCCATGTGAGAACCCCTGCCCTCGGACGGCGGCATGGTCCCTGAACTGGCGGCGTGTCGCTCCCCACCGCCGTGGGGCTGTGGGCACGAGCATCGCCCCTGACGCCAGTCTTTGGCCGCGTGCCGCGGGGGATTGTGACCTGTCCCATCCAGGTGTCGGCGAACAAGGGCGAGATCGGGGACTGCGACGCCCTTCAATGACACGGTGAACGTGCAGAAGGTATCCAACCTCCTGCAGGAGTACGGCTACCATCTCCGCGGCAACGAGGTAGGCCACGTTGCGCTCGCACGCGCCGCATGGGCCCCCCGTGTCAACGTGGGGTGGCTAGATGTTAACTACCTCGCCTGGTATTCAGGAGATCGTGGGTTCGATCCTGACCTTGACGCCTGCTGTTTATTAGGTGTTTGCATGTTCTCCCCGTGGTCATGTGGATTTTTCTCCCGGGTCCTCCGGTTTTTTCCTCCATATTTAGAAACATGTGTGTAGAGTATTTGGCTGCTATCAATTTCCATATTCTTTGGGTCTTTCGATAAAGTCGTGATCGTCATCCTGATGATGATTGCTTGCGTGGTGATCAAAACATCGTAGTTTTTTGTTGTAATATTTTAAATCTTCTTTGAACCTATCTACGTGACTTTACCGAAAGACCCAAAGAATATGAATTCCTGCAGTCACGAAAGCTTTAAGTCAAGATATAAATTTCCCGCTCATGGTCAACTTCAGTGACAATTATCTGAACCGGTCATGGGCCTCTTGACTCTGCCTCAAATGAGTGCCTGATGCGGTGTGTAAACATCAGCACTCGGGAGATAAAGGCGGCCGGGCTTGATGCTGGCTACCCACCCCCTAGTATGCCGTGTCGGCCTTCACAGCTGCCCGGTAACAGCACTTTCCCCAACAGTGTGTTAAGGCTATACAGGGAATCTTTGTTGTGTTGGTGTTCAGGTTTAGTACCATGGCCTTGTTGTTTGTGCCATTGTGCAGGTCTTGTACAATGGCTTCACAGGCCGTAAGATCACCTCTCAGATCTTCATCGGCCCCACCTACTACCAGCGCCTCAAGCACATGGTGGACGACAAGATCCACTCACGTGCCCGGGGCCCCGTGCAGATCCTCGTGCGACAGCCCATGGAGGGGAGGTCTCGGTGCGTACATGCAAACTGTCAACCCGCCCGCCCGTCCGTCCATCAGTCCATCCGTCAGTTCATTCTTTCGTCCAGCACTAGGCGCCACAAGCGTTGAGTTGGCAACAGTCCCGACCGCTGGCCCCTTCTACCCTCCGAAGAAAGGGACATGGCCCAAAACGTTATCCCGTCATAACGTGTCTGTTACAAGGCAGTGTTAACCATCGTCACTATCTACTTAAAAAATCATCACGCACACTCCGGTCATCCTCGCAGCAGCGGCTTTTGGCTAACCATTAAACAAAAACAGTCATCGCATCACACGCTTTCGGATACGCTTCTGCAGCCGTCTGGAATGCTCTTCCTTCCGATATTAGGAAGCCACTGGAGCTATGTACTTTTAAATCTATATTGAAGACCCATTTCTTTAAAACTTTTGTGTTTAGTTTGTTGTCCTTCCCCCGCACCTCCGATTATATATTTCGGTTGGCTACGTACAGTGCGAAAGAAGTTCAACGTACACACACATACATACCGTACGCAGCCAACTGCGCCAATCGGAGGCCTCGCATTTCACATCCGCGCAGGGACGGAGGCCTGAGGTTCGGCGAGATGGAGCGAGACTGCCAGATCGCGCACGGCGCCGCCCAGTTCCTGCAGGAACGGCTGTTCGAGGTCTCCGACCCCTACCAGGTGCACGTGTGCAACCTGTGCGGCCTCATGGCCATCGCCAACACGCGCACGCACACCTACGAGTGCCGCGCCTGCCGCAACAAGACCCAGGTGAGCGCCGCCACCGGCTACTCGTGTCGCCATCCTGGCTCCCAAATCAATCTCTCATTTCCCCCTCTCAATCCCTCACTCCCAACTCAATCTGGCATCTCCCCTTTTTAAATCCCTCACTCCCAACTCAATCTCAATAACTATAGACATGCACACGTGTGTTACCGCGACAGCTGTCCATCGGATTCCACCTACACTTCCTTTTGACGAATGTGTTTGAGTTTTGTTGGTGGTTTTTTACACGATAATCGAGTTTAACACGTAGGCTTTCGCGACCAATGTTATTCATAATCAACGTTTTTGGGTTTAGATCGCGTTATTTATAAATGTGTCGTAACCCTTCACCACCCGACACGGCCAATCAGTAAAAATGTGTCACGTTGACAAAGACAAATAGTTCACTGCTAATCGAGTCCACGCGTACGTGCACGATGTGTCTCCCGTCTCATCCCGCTGCCTCCTCGGGGCTCCCCCGATGTGCAGATGTCACTGGTGCGCCTGCCCTATGCCTGCAAGCTGCTCTTCCAGGAGCTGCTGTCCATGAGCATTGCACCACGGATGATGGTCACCTGACTTCGCTCACTCCCTCGACAAACACCACACGCGTACAGCCACCCCGCAGCGCTGGGCGTAAGAGAACGTCTAAATAGCACGGTTGGCTACATATGTTGCGAACGAAGTCCAACATGCCTACACACGTACACACATACGAAGCAAAAAATGAGCAGCCCAAGTAGCTCAAGGGGCATTCTGGGATTCACTAAAATATTAAATATGGGTGCATAACATACCGATTCAAATTCCAATCCTAATAAACACGAGCCAAGTAATGTAAAACAATTAATTCAGTCGTAATATGTCTTGATTATTGAAGGGTGTGTATGTCACTGTATAGCTACTACTAGTGTAACTATTCAAATACCAATTAAAAATAATTCTCACCAGGCCCCCACGGCGTAAACACGTGCCTGTCTCCAACTCGCATCGTCCACTCTGCCTCTCTACAGGCCTCTCTGTGTATGTATCATGAAGGATTATTGCCCAAGATGTTACCTATTTTCTAAATTTGTCTTCTTTTAAGGCCACACTGAGTCGTTATTGACGAGCGTGTCGACTGTCTTGTTATTTGTGCTTGTGCACCACTGCCGACGCAGCAGCATCACTAAATAAAATGTTTCATCTTTAAACCAGAGAGGGTTGTTTACACGTATGTGTGTGTGTGGGGGGAGAGGTACGATAGTGGTTAGCATGCTCCACTACGAACCCGGTGACCCGAGTTCAATTCCCGCTCACGGAGAGACTCACCACTGTAGGAATATGGAATTTCCACCTACTGGCTCAGCAGGGCTGTACATGGGAATGAGCATCAATGCCTCGATGCTCATGAGAGCCCATAAATCACTCTGGGAGCATTGATCTTAAAAGAGAACCCAATGTTACAATTTCAGTCACACATACTTTTTATTGGCTGCAAATGTGTCCCGATTTGTCACCTGGAAGACGATTAAACCCTCCGGTGTGTGCGTTCGCGTGCGTTCAAACTCACGCTGCATTCTCAACGGTGTGTACGCAATGCACGCCTGTGAGGCAGGCTGGGAGAAGGGCCGTACGGGCGTGCGTGCGTGCGATGGGGCCACGTGATCTTTTAAATAGGGAAGAAGCCGCGAACATCGATGCGAGGGGAGCTGATAAAATACGAGAGTGAAGCTGGCTTCACTACTTAAGCATATTGGAACAAGAGGAAAGTGAAAACAAATGAGGAAATGTGCAGTGGACACCTACGGGCCATCTGCCCGTGGATGGTGACGATGGTGATGATGAAGCTGGTGCGCGTGCCCTCAAGGGAAGGGGTCGTTCGGGGTGATGTTGTAGCTGGCGTTGAAGAAGATCCCAAAGGTTCCCAGGGACGTGAGCAGTAAGAAGGTGATGAAGAAGATACGATCCACGACCATCGCCACAAACTGCCAGTCTTCCTTCAGCTGAAAAAAGACAAAGACCCCCCCCCCCCCCATAGCCTTAACAGACTGTTGGGGCAAGTGGTGTTTGCGAGTAGCACCTATGAAAGCCGGCATGGCACAAGAGGTGGTGGGTGGCCAGCCCCAAGCCCGGCTGCCTTTGTCTCCCTCGTGGCCATGTTTACACATCGCACCAGGTACTCAAGTAAGGCTGAGTTGACCTCGAGGAGTCCCAAGTCCAGTTCAGATATTCGCCACCGATGTTGGCCGTGAGCGGCCATTGAACTCGGGTCGCCAGGTTCCTAGCGCAGCGCGCTAACCGCTACACCACCGCTCCCCACGCTAAGCACATGTACACAGAGAGCGATCGCCATCTCTCAAGGCCAGCTGCCAGATCTCTTCGCTTTCCCCTGAACCTCTGACCAACGGAGAAGCGCCGTGATCTACACAGCGCGTCCCCAGAATCTATCGGTGAGTTTTGTGTCAATAACGCCGGCGGGCGTATTAAAATGTCTCCTGCACGGTAGCCATGCCGCAGCCTGCACCCCCCCCCCACCCAGTACCTCTGGGAGAGGGCGGTGCGTTGCGGTGCCAGGGCCGCGCTGGTGACACAGGGGGGCGCCATGGTGGCGAGATGTTAATTACCTTGCTTGGTATACAGGAAACATGGGTTCGATCCCGACCCTGACGCCTGCTGTATATTTGGAGTTCGCGTCTCTCTCCCCGTAGGCGCGTAGATTCTTCTCTGATTTTTGCCTCCACATTTAGAATCCGTGTGCGTTTAGAGTATTTGGCTGCTATAAATGTCCACGTAGTGTCGATAAGCCAAGTGGTTGAGCTATCATTTGTGTTAGCCAGGTTGCCTCTGAAGAAAAGAGATATATAACTCAGTGGGCCTTACCTGCTATAATAAAACATAATCGATAGTGATAATTGGTTTTTTACCCTTCTATCTGGCAACAAAACTGACACCTTTTTTTACAAGGAGTCATGTTTGCATAGACCACAATACCTGCAGTCATAATGCAAACAAAAAAAACATAACTCTGATAATGTGCACTGTCCTTGAAGTTGATTGGTCCACACCCGAGACAGCTTTCCTTAGAGCCCAGTCTCACATGGGTTGGACCAGATGGCGCCTTTCCTTAGAGCCTAGTCTCACATGGGTTGGACCAGATGACGCCAAAAGGCGCCATCTGGTCCAACCCATGGAAAGCTGTCTCGGGTGTGGACCAATCAACTTCAAGGACAGTGCACATTATCAGAGTTATGTATTTTGTTTGCGTTATGACTGCAGGTATTGTGGTCTATGCAAACATGACTCCTTGTAAAAAAAAAAGTGTCAGTTTTGTTGCCAGATAGAAGGGTAAAAAACCAATTATCATATTTTTTTACTGGCAAATGAGGTTCCAATGGTGTAAATAATCGATAGTTTTATTTTCACCTCGTCGAACTCCTTCTGGTTGAGCATGTGCTCGGAGATGTAGTGCACGGCGTCCACCGCCGATTGCAGCTCCGGGGGCAGCACCACGTGGAGCTTGTCGGGCCCGGCAAGCTCCGAGGAGAACGGCGTCATTCCGAACCTGCGGCGGGGCACCAACGCTTGTCGTTCTTACGGGGCAGGAGGATCATCAACAAAGTGAAGGCGCTGCGGTCGTTCCACGGCAGGTAGGGGGCGATGTTGCCTCGCGCGTCTGTGAGCAGCAACATTGGACCCTCGGACGTTGGCACGTGATGGCCTACCCGTTTCATTTGAGGTCACGGGGATCTTTAACATCAGCTGTGATGGCGCAAAATAATTTTTATTATTATCATCACCACGGTTGATACACTCCACCGCCGCAGTAAGGGGCCGTCCATAAATGACGTTACGCGATTTTGGACGATTTTTGACCCCCTCGTCACACGGCGTCACAAAGTCAGACCCCCCCTCAAATATGAGGTCACAAAGCTCTGCCCCCCCCCACCCAGAAAATAAAACATGCTTCAAATCGCTTTAAACTATTGTCATTGTCGTGCGTATTTAATGTGGCGCTGCACTCTGATGTTGTAGGAGAAAACATTTATTTAAAAAGTCTATTTAATTAAGTAGAACGTGTATTTAAAGTTGCGCATTTTGATGTGACGTCACATTTCTCACCCCCTCCCCCCTCATCACACAAATGTCTGACCGCCCCCCTCCCCCCCTAGGTGCGTGACGTCATGCATGGACGGCCCCTAATAACCGGGGTGGCCTGCCAGATTCAAACCGCGAACCTCCGCAAGGCGTAGCGAGGTGGGGCGGCTGTGCCCCACAGCTCCCCTTGCGCCGCCGCGCTACTCACGAGTGCGAGGTGGGCAGCAGCAGCGCCTGGCTGGGCGGCGTGCGGATGAAGTACTCGTCGTGGCAGTGCTGCTGGTGCTGCGCCAGCACGGGGAGCTTCGGGGCGAGCTCCTCCTTCTTGGGACGTTCGATCCACAGGTACTTGGGCAGCGCGTGGATGAAAATCTGCAACGTCGCCGCAACGGCAAAGGGGGCCGTCCATAAATGACTTCACGCGATTTTGGACGATTTTTTACCCCCCCCCCCTTCGTCACAGGGCGTCACAAAAAGTCGGACCCCCCCCCTCAAATATGACGTCACAAGGCTCTGCCCCCCCCCCCCCAAATATATAAAACATGCTTCAAATCCGCCTTAAACTATTGTCATTGTAGTGTGTATTTAATGTGGCGCTGCACTCTGATGTTGTAGGAGAAAACATATATTAAAAAGTCTATTTAATTAAGTAGAATGTGTTGCCTATATTTATTTAAAGATGCGCATTTTGATGTGACATCACATTTCTCAACCCCCCCCCCCTCGTCACACATCAGTCACAAATGTCTGACCACCCCCCCCCCCAGGTGCGTGACGTCATTTATGGAACGGCCCCAAAGGCGGCCACGGACACCACACGCACACACGTGGTTACTTGGCGAAGTGGGGGGGGGCGCCACGGTGGCTAGGAGATGTTATCTCCCTCGCCTGGTATGCAGGAGGCCGTGGGTTTGATACCGACCCTGACGTCTGCTGCTGTATATTTGGAGTTCGCGTGTCTCTCTCACCGTCATCATCATCACGGTGGCTAGGAGATGTTAACCACCTCGCCTGGTGTGCAGGAGGCCGTGGGTTTGATACCGACCCTGACGTCTGCTGCTGTATATTTGTAGTTTGCGTGTCTCTCTCTCTCCCCGTGGTCACGTGGATTTTTCTCTGGGTCCTCCGGTTTTTCCCTCCACATTTAGAAACGTGCGTTTAGAGTATTTGGCTGATGTACATTTCCACACAACAAGCCACTTCATTGAGCTATCATTTATGGCCAGGTCGCTTCTGAAAAAGAGTTACATAGCTCAGTGGGCCTTACCTGGTAAAATAAAAAATGTGTTGAGTTTAGTACTTTAAGTTTGGCCAAGATTCGCAACAGCCAATCAAAATTCCCCGTTGGAGCCGGGCAGTGGCAGCAGTGGTGGGTCTACATTGCTGCACATGGCTTGTCCTGTAGTCCTCCAGCAATGAGAAGGCAGAAGCGGGGATTGATAGATCATCTGACAAATGTTGTGAAACTCCGTACTACCCGTGAGCATCGAGGAGGTGCGGTGCCCTGGCTTTGCCAGGTGAAGATGACACAACAAAGTGTGGACTCCACCTGTTCCGTTAGGATGGGAAAGTGTTTCCCTCTCACACGTGTGGATTTTCTCCGGGATGCTCTGGTTTCCTCCCATAAGTAAACACTCATTCATTGGCCGATAACACCTTGATCAATAGAGAAATACAGAGCCTGTGTAATTGTTGGTAGCACCGGCTCTCCGCGTGGCTGCTGCCTTCCCACTCGTCTTCGGCTCCTCCTCGCGCGTCTGAGTCATCCTCTTTCTCTCTGAGAGTGAGCGATTACTTGGCATCTGTGCCGATGACTCTGGTGGTGGTAGCGATGTTGTGGTAGTGGCAGTTACGGTGGTGGCGGTTGTGGTGACATTGGTAGGCTCTCACCCGGCGGACCCAGTAGGGCATGATGTGCGTAGGCCGGCTGATCGGAAGTGCAGGTTGAGCACGATGACGGTGAGGATGACGCAGGCCGTGACGATCACCATGGTGAACATGAGGTAGTTGACGATCACGGGGACCCCGAGGGACGTCTCTGGAACCTTGTCGGCCAGCAGCAGCAGAAACACGGTGAGGGCCAGTAGCACGGAGATGCACAGCCCCATCTTCTCACCTGCAGGATGTAAACAGGTGACGTTTCACTGTGAAGGGTCGATGGGTTGCCATGCGAGTCAACAATCGCAACCAGGACTTGAACTCGCAACTTTCTGACTGCGAGTCGCTCTGCCGCTGTGCCACGTGGCCAGTCAAAGCCAACTTTTGGCGCCACGGTGGCTAGGAGATGTTAGGGGCCGTCCATAAATGACGTCACGCGATTTTGGACGATTTTTTGACCCCCACCCCCCTTCGTCACACGGCGTCGCAAAAAGTCAGACCCCCCTCAAATATGACGTCACAAAGCTCTGCCCCCCCCCCCAAATAGAACATGCTTCAAATCGCTTTAAACTATTGTCATTGTAGTGCGTATTTAATGTGGCACTGCACTCTGATGTTGTAGGAGAAAACATTTAATAAAAAGTATATTTAATTAAGTAGAACGTGTTGTCTATATTTATTTAAAATTGTGCATTTTGATGTGACGTCACATTTCTCAACCCCCCCCCATCGTCACACATCGTCACAAATGTCAACATTACGTATTTAATGTATTTGGATGCTATAAATGTCCACGAACTAAGCAATTTTGTTGAGCTATCATTTGTGGCCAAGTCGCTTCTGAAAAATAAGTTAGCTCAGTGGGATTTAGCTGGTTCGATAAAAATGTGTTTAGTGTTATTTGTATTTTTTTAAAGTAATTTGTTTAACTTTCCTATACTTATGTTTTTGCATTGTTTGTTGTTGTAACGTTCTGACTCGCCCCCTTACGAGACATCTGTGAATAAGTATAACCCGTAAAAACAAAGTTTTTCACTCTAAATCCTTTATATGCGTGGCGGCTAGAGTCCTCATCGTCCTCTGGCTTGAGATGGCTGCCACCTATGGGTCAGATGATTGTCTGCAGTATTAAACAATTGGTAATTAAGTATAATTTTTTTGTCCTATAAAGTGTAAAATTTTGGAAAAAAAATTTTCACTAACATTAATTGTCACGCACAACGAGTCTGTGTGGAAAATGTCAACTCGATTGGATCATGGGAAGTGGGTTAAAAAACGACCGAAAGATTTACACGGTCGTAAGCAAGCAAGCACGCAAGCAAGCAAGCAAGCGAACTTAATATAAAGGATTTAAAAAGAGCCTTGTAGCCCATCGGATTCCTCCAGTAAAATAAAATATTCTAATTCTGTTTTTGTAATGCGAGCACCGCCCACCAAAGGGGATCGCAAATTCCCGCGGGTGTCACGGGCCAGGGGCCGCGTTGCGCCCGGACCACGGCCCTGTCCAGGGGCGGCTCGCCTCACCTGCATCCGGGGGCAGGTAGAAGGTGAAGACGGCACAAATGGTGATGAGGATGCAGGGCACGACGATGTTGATGATGTAGAACAGGGGCTTCCTCTCCATGATGAGATAAAAGGTGATGTCTTGGTACAGAGGGTCCCTGGGGTTGGTGTTCTTGCGCGATGGTTTGTGCTTGATTTGCCACTCGCCGCTCACTGGGCACGCCCGGACACAGGGGGCAGGGTACGCACGCGGGCAGATGTCACCTGCCGTGCCCGCTGCTTGACAGCGCCGACTCCGGGATCGCGCCGACTGCGAGACCGCTCCCCGCTGCGGGACCGCTCCCGCTGTGGGATGGTGCTGACTGTGGGACCATGCCCACTGTATCCTTGACTTGATGGCACCGGCCAGTGCGAAGTTCTTAGCGGAGCCACGGAAGCCGCGTGGCCGCGTCCGATGCCGAGGACAGGCTGTTGTGGAGCCGCTGTCGTTTGTGGAGGTGTACGGTTTGCACCGGCGGTACCTGGGAAGGTGCTCTCGTCGATGATGATGTGCCTGATCTCCTGTCCTGTGCTCGTCGAGCGCATACTCCAGGTTGATCTCCGAGGTGTCATACGTGAACGACTGAAAGACCATGGAGCAGTTCTGCCAATCGAAGGGGAAGTACTTCACCTGCAGGATGCAACCGTCGAACGTCTGAGTGTTGAGATCGTTTGATTTGTCACGTGAAATGATGATCCCGTTAGCCGGTTGCCCGACTATTTTATACGAGGGATCCATGGTGCGTTAGCGACAAAACACGTATTTTTTTGCAGAGAATTAGTAACAGGGTCATTCAGGAATAATGCACACCGAACAAACGAGGTATTTAACGAAATACTATGCATGCAAATTGAAAAAAACAGTTCAACTTCTTTCTGGTTCCAGAGGCAGAAAGAAGTTAGGTACAGGGGCAAGTGCTGTGTTTTTGTCTAATAGGCACATAAAGAGAATGAGTGAAGGGAGAGAACCAAGTTGTAGATAAGAAGCAAGAATATTCCGGAAACGTGGAGCAGCAATGCGGAAAGACTCTTCATATCAGAGCCGCGGCCTCCACCGCTAGGAACGGGTACACCAAGGCCGTAGCCATGGAGTCAACATTGGGGGGGACCAAATCTTCCAGGGGGTCTGGGAGTCCCCCCCAGAAAAAAAAATCTAAATTTGAAAACTCATTTCCTGCCTAAAATAAAAAAAATCACTAATACATAGGATGGACTTATTATAATTTTTTTACAATAATATCTAATAATGTATTGTATTAATTTTCTTTTTTCTTTTTTACGTTTTCTTGTTTCATTGTATGTAATGGCAGAGATTCGGGATTAATAAAGTACAACCATAACCACAATCATATAAACAGAATTCTATTTTATAGCAATATATTGGGGGAGACATCTTGAGCATATTTGAATATTGGGGGGGATGTGTCCCCCCCAATACATATTATAATTACGGCCTTGGGGTACACCAAATAGCACACACACAGCTAAACATTTTCATTGAGCGTCGTCATAGTGGAGAATACAAATCACAAAATAGATAAGACGATACGTCTCCTTCACGTGTACGACTCTCCACTTAAAATTATTTTTGTTAACCAGGTAAAGCGCACTGAGCTCTCTGCTAAGAGGCGACCTGGCCACACATAGTAGCTCATCACAGTGCCTCATATCATCATCACACCTGGGAATTTACTGTAGGCAGCCAAATAATAAAAACGCATGTTTCTAAATGTGTACGGCAAAACTGGAGCAACTCGGAGTACAATCCACTCGCAAACTACAAATATACAGCCATGCTGTGCCTGCGTGTACGTTATCAGTGTCCCTCGTGTACGTTAGCGGTGTCCCTGCGTGTTCGGTAGCCGTGCCCCTGTACCTGCATGCCGCACGAGCTGCGGTAGATGGACGGGGGGACCCACCGCACGGCGCCCGTGTAGTCCACCAGCACGTGCACGTAGAGCCCAAAGTCAAAGTTGCCGTCGTTACTGCGAAGAGCGACAGCGCACGCATCGAGTAGCCAGGGCGACCGCTTGCTGACCCCCCCCCCGTAATTGTGCGGGGGGGGGGGCAGGCCGTGCAGTCGTGTGGCACCAAATCATCGCTGCCGCGGGGACCAAACCCGCGATCGTGCTCGAATGCAACTCAATCATTCTCACATCTTCTGCTCTCTTCATCCAATTGTTAAAATTGTGTTTGATTCTGGTTAGGCTGTGCATTCTCACCCTGCAAAGTAAACTAAACTAAGACTTCTTGGTTCTTTCGGTAAAGTCACGTAGAAGGGAAGTAATAAAATAATAAAAATAAAACATAATAAAATTATTCTCACGACGTTTCGGCCACATCGCAAGCAGCCGTCCTCAGGTGAAAACCAGGTCCGTCGAGGCGACAGAGTCTGAATGAAACAGCACACGAGCTTGGAGCATATATATAAGCTGGGCGCCTTGACAAAGGAATTTGCATATCAAGAGGAATTTAGCATATTTATGGGAAATTCAGGAATGTGATTAGTACTGCATATGCATATGCATTATGCAGGATTAACTGCTGCTGCTGTTGCTGCAGTTGCTGCTGCTGCAGAAACTGCAGCAGCAACTGCAGCAACAGCAGCAGCAGCAGCAGCAGAAACTGCAGCAGAAGCAGATACTGCAGCAGCAGCAACTGCAGCAACAGCAGCAGCAGCAGCAGAAACTGCAGCAGCAGCAGAAACTGCAGCAGCAGCAGCAACTGCAGCAGCAGCAACTGCAGCAGCAGCAACTGCAGCTCCCTTTGATGCTGTTAATTCTGCATAATGCACATGCATATGCAGTACTAATCACATTCCTGCATTTCCCATAAATATGCTAAATTCCTCTTGATATGCAAATTCCTTTGTCAAGGCGCCCAGCTTATATATATGCTCCAAGCTCGTGTGCTATTTCATTCAGACTCTGTCGCCTCGACGGACCTGGTTTTCACCTGAGGACGGCTGCTTGCGTTGTGGCCGAAACGTCGTGAGAATAATTTTATTATGTTTTATTTTTATTATTTTATTACTTCCCTTCTACGTGACTTTACCGAAAGAACCAAGAAGATGAATACCTGCAGTCACGAAAGCTTTAAATCAAATTTTAACTAAGACTATTGTTTATTTTACCAGGTAAAGCCCACTGAGCTATGTAGCTCTTTTTCAGAAGCGACCTGGCCACAAATAATAGCTCAACGAAGCGGCTTATCGCGTGGAAATGTACAGCAGCCAAATACTCTAAACGCGTGACGTTAATTCTAAATGTGGAGGGAAAAAATCGTAGGACCCGGAGAATAATCCACGCAACCACATGGAGAACACACAAACTCCAAATATACAGCAGGCATCAGAGTCGGGATCGAACCGACGACCTCCTCCATACCATGCGGGGTGGTTAACATCTCGCCACGTGGCACCCTTTAACCCTCCACCACCCAGCGAGAGAGCTGTCTCGTGGGACTTTCGCTGACGGTGAGTTCACTGGGCATGCATCGGCTCCCCCTGCCTATGTCCCTCTCCCCTTCTCTTCCCCCGCCCGGCTGCCGATCACACCCAACATCATCAGGTGCCAACAGCAGTGCAGCTCTCCTCGTGTGGCATGTTTGGGGCCGTCCATAAATGACGTCACGCGATTTTGGACGATTTTTAACACCCCCCTCCCTCTCGTCACACGGCGTCACAAAAAGTCAGACCCCCCCTCAAATATGACGTCACAAAGCTCTGCCCCCCCTCCCCCCCAAAAATAAAACATGCTTCAAATCACTTTAAACTATTGTAATTGTAGTGCATATTTAATGTGCCGCTGCATGTTGTAGGAGAAAACATTTATTAAAAGTGTATTTAATTAAGTAGAACGTGTTTATGTTTATTTAAAGTTGCGCATTTTGATGTGACGTCACATTTCTCAACCCCCCCCCCCCTTGTCACACATCGTCACAAATGTCTGCCCCCCCCCCCCCCCGAGGTGCTTTACGTCATTCATGGACGGCCCCTAAGCCAATTCGTCACGCTATCATTTGTGGCCAGCTCACTTCTGAAAAAGAGCTATATAGCTCAGTGGGCCTTCCCTGGTCAAATAAAAAGTAGTTTAGTTTAGAGCAGCGGAACTGGGCTGTGCGAAGTGAAGCACGTACTTGTTAGACAGAGCGATGTCCGGGAGCCAGATGCGCTTCGGAGACAGACGGATGGACTTCAGGTTGTCGTAGTTTCTTGGGTCCCAGGACAAGCGAGGGTCTTCCCAAGACTAACCAATCAGACGCGAGAGTCAATGCTGAACGTCATCATAGCAGGGCAAGTGAGCGCCGCGGTGGTGTGGAGGTTGTTTTCAAGTTTAATTGATTAGGTATAGCCCTGTGAGCCATGCGGCTCTTGAGTCGGGTGCAACGGCAACAAACAAAACATGAACAGAGAACATCTTAAAGTGACGACGCGCAACAGAAACATCCTGGATAAACCAGCAAATCTTCCAGGAAAAAAAAGTATTACAACGCTGTGTGCAAAAATCCCAGTGTGATGCAAGTCAAACAATAACAACCATAAGACAATTTAGATTAAAGTTATGAGGCCAAATCCGCACTTTCACCCTGAATCCTGTATATTTGGAGTTTGCACGCGTCTCTCCCTGTGGTCGTGTCGATTTTTCTCCGGGTCCTCCGGTTTTCCCTCCACATTTAGAAACATGAGTTTGGAGTATTTGGCTGCTCTACATTTCCATGCGATAAGCTATTTCGTTATAATTTGTGGCGAGGCCGTTGCGAAAAAGAGTAATATAACTCAGTGGGTCCTGACCTGGTAAAATAAAAATAGTCTATAGTTTATATTTACCAAAAGAGGGAAATGTTAGCCAAAATTTTGAACAATATTGTACAAAGCAAGTTATGCGTTCAATGTTTTGGCAGAGAAAAGGCTGCGTTTGGTGTACATATTTACAACACAGGGGCCGTCCATAAATGACGTTACACGATTTTGGACGATTTTTGACCCCCCCCCCACCCTTCGTCACACGGCGTCACAAAAAGTCAGACCCCCCCCCCCTCAAATATGACCTCACAAAGCTCTGCCCCCCCCTCCAAAAATAAAACATGCTTCAAATCACTTTCAACTATTGTCATTGTAGTGCTGTACTCTGATGTTGTAGGAGAAAACATGTATTAAAAAGTATATTTAATTAAGTAAAACGTGTTGTCTATATTTATTTAAAGTTGCACATTTTAATGTGACGTCACATTTCTCACCCCCCCCCCCTCGTCACACATCGTCACAAATGTCTTACCCCCCCCCCCTAGGTGCGTTACGTCTTGCACTCACGTAATCCACTGTGGTCTTCTGTAGGCTACTCATGCCTAAAGGGTACTCATCAGGACTTGTGAGCCACATTTAAAACATTGCACTGCATCCATTGGACATTCAGCAGCAATTACAAACGTGATTTTAATCAAGTGTGTGAATAGGTCACTGGTTCAGTAATCTACAACACGCGCGCAGAAGTGGGTATTAGCCTGTGCTATATCTGCAACGTTCAGAGTGTGTGTGCATGATTATAATCATGGCATAATTATGCGATTAATGTCATTTGAAATTGAAAGACTGAAGACAAATTTTGATTTAAAGCTTTCGTGACTGCAGGGATTCATATTATTGGTTCTTTCGGTAAAGTCACGTGGAAGGGAAACAATAAAATAATAAAAATAGAAAGCAATACAATTATCACGACGTTTCGACTGCAACACAAGCAATCATCATCAGGTGTGAAATCCACAGAAGAAGATTTTATTGTTTTATATTTCTTTATTTTATTGTTTCCCTTCTACGTGACTTTACCGAAATAACCAAGAAGACTGAAGACAGTTGTGCAGAAGCACATCCAGTGCAGTAACAGCGCTTGGGCACGGATTTCAGACTGGCTGGAGAAAATTACTAACAATGCATTATTCGTACACTGCGTCATTCGTGCCAAACGCATATCAAGACGCCGGTGTGGTAGACCTTGTAACGTGGCGTTGGGTGGGGTGGGGGGTTCGCAAGGAGACGCCACCGCCACCAGAGTAAACCACGGACGGGAGCTTGGGGAAGGCGGCCAGAACCGGCGCGACCAACAATTGTCCGAGTTCTGTGGTCCAATATTGAGATGCATGGCCAACTTCCATTTACGAGTGGCAGGAAATTAGAGCACCCGCAGAATGAATCCATCTAAGAGTTATACCGCTCAGCCATATTCAGCAAAAGAAAAATCGGAGACGGATGCGTGGACGGGAGAGAGAAAAATTCAACAAAATTAAAACTCTACACAGAAGAAAACACAAATGTTCCTCGTCCAGTCTTAAAATCATCAACTGTCACGGCTGAGCAGACTTCATTCGGCAGAGACTCTTCCAGACACCGTGGGGGGCTGCAGATGAACAGCTCCGTTCTGATGTCCGAAGCCGAGTGGATTTCACACACAGACAATGTGACGCGACATGTCGGGGTGGGGGAGAGGGGGTAACACTCAATCCGCCAGACCGATGGGATTACGGGTGGACATTATTCCCACTTGCTGTGCTGCCATCAGACCCTACCAATAAGCCAGGAGATTGTGACCTCGACGCCCTTCCGGTGTGCGATCATCCACGGACATGAGTGTGGGAAGCCGAGGCTCTCACCATGTCCATGTAGACGCTGGTGGTCAGCTCCTCCTTCTTCTCGTTCTGCAACGAGTCCACGCGGGTACAAGCAGCGTGCGTCAACACCTCCGTGCAACTCCATTTTTGGGGTCAGATGGCGCCAATACAATGTGTGTACACCCTGCTCCACCCGACATACTCGAGGTGCAACGTTTCTAAGGGACCTCTTTGCGAGTTTTAAAACGATGAAAAACAGAACAAGCGTTACCCTTTCTGGCAATAAAGCAGGTGTTAAGATGTTCAAAACACCTATTTCAGGAAGAGATCGCGTGAATATACATGTGTCGTTAACCGACCACCACCCGTCACCTAAACAAAAGCAACTGTTAATGTTGTGGGTTTACTCTCCAACACACCGGTTACTGCTGAATAATCATTAAGCAGTTTTAAGTTGAATCTAAAAACTCACCTTTTGAAACTTGCTTTTACTTAAGATTATTTTATAGTGTTCTTTTTATATGCCTTCGATAGTAATTCATTATAATTCAAGTTTGACTTGTATGGAATTTGCTTATATTCTTCTTGTGATTTAGTCTATAAACAATTATTTTTTTAAATCTGTACAGCACTTAGAATGGCATCCTTTGCACGAAATACAGTAGTGATATATAAATAAAGACTTGATTGATTGAACTAATAACTAATTGTCACGTTTTGTTTATGTGACAAACCTTACTAATTGGCTGTGTCGGGTGGTGGCGGGCTAACGACACACATATATACGCGATCTACCCCCCCCCCCCACGCCATATTATAAGATGAAAACTTTATTAATGGGCTTGTTAGATGGAGGAGGGTGAACAACACACATTTTACCTACACGATCTCAGCGAAAAATCTATTACAAATCACGTTAATAGTTACGAAAGCCCACGTGTAAGATCACCGTACAACATCCCGATGACAGTGATACATTAGCAGGCGAGGCCAAACGATCACCCATGCTCAAAGGTCCGAAACAAGGATCGCGAGGATGAGAAAGAGATGGGCTTGTGTACAGGTGATGTTTTCATCGCAGAGACTGAGAGAGATGGAGGAAGCTTCAGGAAGCCTGAAGCTGCTGGCCACGATGGGAGGGCTTTAGGAGAGATAAAGTTTATGCCGTGTTGCTGTTCCTCCTCCGCTGAAGCAACACAGAATACAGTGGTTGACTATAAAGTCCATAGTTTGTATGTATGTTGAACTTTGTTTGCACCGTACGTAGCCAACCGTGCTCATCAGAGGTGCGGGGATTGGATTGGATAGCCACAATCGCACTGCATGTGGATTAAATGTTTCACGTATAGCGGAGAAGATGTGTACATCATCCTGTTGATGTGCTGATGCGGTTGATGGTTCCACCACCGGTGTCTTCCAGGAGGAGGAATGTGAAAGCCGGGAGGTGCGATGATGTTTGGGTCTCATGAGGTGGCAACTCTATGACTAACACGCAAACACATTCCTGCGGAGGGAGCTGGTAGGAACGTTGGGTTGCTCGGTCAATGGCCAGGGTCAACGGCGGCGTGGTGTATTCCGCAAATATGCCCGACTCTGAGGGCGGGCACAAGCCGGCGTGAGTAGGTTAAACGTTGAGTTTTATAAGGGCACCACGGGGTGGCCAGCCCCTCCCCACCCAGCCCCACCCCTCCCACCCCCCACCCTCCCCACCCAGCCCCACCCCTCCCACCCTCCCCACCCAGCCCCTCCCACCCTCCCCACCCAGCCCCTCCCCACCCTCCCCTCCCCACCCAGCCCCACCCTCCTCACCCAGCCCCTCCCCACCCCACCCCACCCTCCCCACCCAGCCCCTCCCTCCCCACCCAGCCCCTCCCTGCACGACGGACGGACGGACAAAATAATCCCCTGTGGGCTGGTGTAACCAGGAGGTTCCTACCAGTAATATTCGTCATACCAGGCTGATGAGCCGTGAGAGCGTCATACCAGGCTGATGAGTTGCGAGAGCGTCATTCCGAGGCGCACGGTGACGCGGCCCGTGGCGGTCCATGCGGGCCGCACCAGGGTCTTGTACTGCTGCGCCACGAACAGGTCCTTGAGCAGATTCTCTTCCGCCTGCAGGCCGCCCACGCCTGAAGAGCAATACTTGTTCAGAGGGCTCTTGGCCGACAAGCAGTTGCCATGCTAATGAGACACTGAACTTCATAATAAACGTTTTTGGGTTAGATCGCGTTATTTATAAATGTGTCGTAACCCTCCACCACCCGACACGGCCAATCAGCAAAAAAGTGTCACGTTGACAAAGGACAAATAGTTCACTACTTTAGCCCACCGGTGTGTTAAAGAGTGAATCCACACCATTTACAGTTTTTGAGTACTGCCCAGTATAAACCCTCCCACTTTAGTAAAATTTCTTGCTGTGGTTGTCACACCTGATGATGATTGCTTGTGTTGCAATCGAAACGTCGTGATGCGATTTATTTATTTATTTCACCTACGTGACTTTACCGAAAGAACCAAAGAGTATGGATCCTTGCAGTCACGAAAACTTAAAATCCAGAACACTTTTAATGTTCATATTTTTCTCCATCCTACACGTGGGTGTCCACATCGCGTCGGTTTCTTTCTCAGCACCGCCTGCATCATCACCAGTTTGCTTTCTTCTACCTGCAAACTTTATCTCACTTCTACGTTGGTCAATCTTTGTAGTCCAGCTTAGATGCAGCAGCAGCAGCCTTCTGTAGCAAAACATTTCGAGTGCCGATAAACACACGGGGCTATATATTGCTGTGTATACAGAGCACTGTGCATTAGAGGCAAGGGATCACGGCATGGATGAGTGTGGCGGCGTGCCCGAGTTGGGAACCTGGGCGAGTGAAGCGGGGGGAGGAACGCGCTGGGCTGGCGCCAGAGGTCGCAAACGGGTTTTGATTCCTTACCCGTACCCGGCCGCACCAGGGTCGCAAATGGGTACCCGTGCCCGGCCGTTCCCTACCCATACCCTACCCGAAATGAGTGACAAACGGTTACTCACCAGTGACTCACGCGCTACCCGTACCCGGCCGCACCAGGGTCGCAAACGGCTACCCGTACCCGTACCCGGCCGGGTACGGGTAGCCGGGTATCGGGTAGGGTGCGGGTATCGGGTACCCGGTTGCGACCTCTGGCTGGCGCTGCCCTGCGAGCCGCACTCTCATCAACGCGCGCTCCGGATACCTCGCGGCTCCGGGGGTTTCGGTGGCGATACGAATCCGGCCACATGAGTTTTATTACCGCCCGCGGCTAAGATATGGTGCGATCTCTCCCTGCAATTCCGATTAGCGCGGTTGGCGACGTACCGTGCGAAAGAAGTTCAACGCGCAGTCGCATAGATGACATTGACGCTTGTATGCGGCTATCTTTCTTCTAAATTGGCGAATATCGAAATGCATTGAACACGTACGGGCCTGGATCCGACTGCTGTAGTGCCCTGCAGATGAACATGACTTCCGCCACGCGCGTGTTCAATGTTGTCGGCTTTTGAACAAGGAAAGAGAATCGAAAACAGCAGCAACAACTAAACTTCATAGAATGTCCACAAGCCCGGCCAAATCTGGCCCGAGGGCCACACTCGAGGGAGCGAGAGACGAAGCAGTCCCGGCACCCCCCCCTCCCGTGTCTCGGACTCGACTCATCCACGCGGTTTCGGGGGTGGCTCACGGAGCCCCGGGGACGCACGGGCACCTTGAAGCGACGTGAAGACGACGAGGAGGGCCCACGCTCTCTGGCTGGTGGCCATGGCTGCGTCGTGTTTGGTGTCTCGTGTGCCTCTCGCCGGAGCTCGCTATGGCGAGCCTGCTCTTATCGCTGCCCTCGTTCGTCGCTGCTGTTGTCGTCTGCCGCGGGCTGTGGAGAGGAGGGAACTTTGTTGATCTATTTTTGGCCGCTGCGATTTTTGCCGGACGCGGCGTGAACCAGCCCTGTAGCTCGTGTTGCAGGCGAGCCGCAGCAGCTGTCACTTCGTAACAAAGACAAAGATTCCCCCCCCCCCCCGTATAGCCCGCGAAGGACTGCTGGGGCAAGTGCTGTTAGCGAGCACCCTGAGTGAAGGTCGACACGAAGCCGCACGAAGGGGGTGGGGTGGCCCAGCGACAACGCACGGCCACCTTTGTCTCCCCAGTGCTGATGGCTTTTTTTGAACACACGGCCCCAGAAACTGAACCGGCCCTCTGAAGGAGTCCCAGGACCGGTTCTGATATTCGCCGCTTGCAATAATTATATCGGTCAGCGAGAGCTGGGAATCGAACTTGGGTCGGTGGGGCGGGCTCGGAGCGCGTCCGTGCGCTCATCCACTGCCCCAGAAGCCGCGCGGGCTCCATTCTCGGCTACTCGTCGTTCGGTGCATGTTGAGAGAGCCGGGTGAGAGAATGAGAGAAAAATTAACTCGTAAAAACAAAGTTTTACACTATTAATCATTTATATGCGTGGCATCGGTTTTATTTTATTATTCATTTCTGTTTTTCTTGAGTAAGAGTTTCATTTTCATCACATTGGTATTTAAAATAAAATAGGAAAAATGTTTTTTCCTAAAAAGTGGAAAATTTTGGAAAAAAAATTTCACGAAAATAAATTGTCACGCACAACGAGTCTGTGTGCAAAATGTCAGCTCGATTGGATCACGGGAAGTGGGTTAAAAAACGACTGAAAGATTTGCACGGTCGTAAGCGCGCAAGCAAGCAAGCAAGTGAACTTAATATAAAGGATAAAAAAAATTTTCCCTAAAAAGTGGAAAGTTTTGGGAAAAAAATTCACGAAAATAAATTGTCACGCACAACGAGTCTGTGTGCAAAATGTCAGCTCGATTGGATCACGGGAAGTGGGTTAAAAAACGACCGAAAGATTTGCACGGTCGTAAGCACGCAAGCAAGCAAGTGAACTTAATATAAAGGATTGAAAAAAGAGAGAGCCGGGGAAGAGAGTGAGAGAGAGAGCAGACGACACCGACTCCCCCCCCCCTCTCCTGTCCCGTTATATGATGCTGGGAGCGCAGTGTGTCTGTGCTGTGACTCACGGAGAGTGATAAGACACGGGTCGGAAACCAAGATAACAACAGGAGACGTTCGTTTTCGAGTTTGGTAAAGAAAAATAACTCGTTATTAAAAAGAACCTGCAATGCGTGTGAAGACGCAGACTGCCGACTCCTGGTCGCGTAAATATAAATGTGTTGTTAAACCCGCCACCACCCGACACAGCCAATTGGAAAGGATTGTCACGTAAACAGAACGTGGCCAATTCGTCACTAGTACAGCACACCGTTGTGTTGGAGAGCAAATCCCCAACATTTACAACCCGAGTACGACGTTTCGCCAGTAATTACAAATAGCTTCATCAGGCGACAGCCAGATTTGTGGAGAAATCATTCTGTTTCGTTCCTTAAATATGATGGAAATGACGACCTCGCGCATCCACTCAGCCACCTACCCATCTACGGCACTGCAAGGCACAACAGCCACTCATCACCAGTGTCACCGCAGATACCAACGCGTCTCTTTCTGCGTTTTCCCTCGCACTGATCCACTTTGGAATCACCTCCCATCGTCTCTCTTCCCCAAGCTCTTAAATCCTTGCTCAATTCAAGAAACGTGGCACACTTATCTACTGCAACTTTAAAACAGTCGTGCTGTTTGTTGCTGGCTGCTTGGCGTTTTGGGGCCTTTGGGCCTCTTTGCAGCAAGAACAATAATAATACAATAGTCAAACATGTTTGTGAGATGAACATCTTAAAATATGTACTTGCTACATCACTAGAAGAAAAAACACGCGTTCACTTACAATGCAGTTCCTTAGCAATGTGACAAGTTCATGTCAGCTCAAGCGTCTTGTCAATCACGCTGACTGCCTGATGGTCACTCACACTCTGAAGCCCTCTCCTCTCCACAGCTCACTTCTGCTCCCTCCGTCTCGCTAATCCCTCTCTTCCCCACACTCAACCACCTCCCATCATCATCGCCTTCACTTCCCCAACATCTTAATATCGACAAGGCTCGATTATTGCAACTCACTACTCTACGGGACGTCTGGCAAAAGACATTACGTACGGTGCGAAAAAAGTTCAGCATACACACATAGCTCCGTGAATAATTTGCTCCCCTCTTTGCCCCGTTTCTCCATTCCTTTACCATCATTGCCCTCTTATTTTCCATTGTTGTTTACCACGAGTGAAGCCGCTTATTCACAAACAACCTAGATTTCGATTTAAAGCGTTCGTGACTGCAGGGATTCATCTTCTTGGTTCTTTCGGTAAAGTCACGTAGAAGGGAAGTAATAAAATTAAAACATAATAAAATAATTCTCACGACGTTACGGCCACAACGCAAGCAGCCGTCCTCTTCAAGCAGCCGTCCTCTTCACCTGAGGACGGCTGCTTGCGTTGTGGCCGAAACGTCGTGAGAATTATTTTATTATGTTTTATTTTTATTATTTTATTATTTCCCTTATACGTGACTTTACCGAAAGAACCGAGAAGAGGAAACAACATAGACTTCACATATATAAACAAGCGGCCCTTTGTCAAGCCACTGCTAAAGGTCTATCCACGCGCGTCGTGTACATCACAGCGGCTTGTTTGACAAAGATCTGTGTGTGACCAAGAGTGATGGGCTCAAGACCAGTTCAGGGATCGCTCGTCACCGATAATAGCCGTGGCCGGAAATCGAACTCAGGCCGTCAGGTTCGCGGAAGTTTGCAAAACCACTGCGGCAACGCTTCCACACGTCTCAGTCGTACGTGCGTGCAACGCGCAGCTGGCGATGTTTCTGCTCCAGTTGGGTTTTTGTCGTCATTTACACACTGGCTATTTAAAATGGACCGCGGAGCTAGACTTATTGATGGCGCCGACTCATTGCGTGGCTGCTGCCTTCATCGCTGGTCTTGTCGTTCCTCCCCGAGCCTCCGAGTCGTTCGCTCTCTCCAAGAGAGCGAGGAGGTAATACTCTGCAGCCGCGACGGGTCACAATTATTATTTCAAACCCCAAAACTGCACACTGTGTGCACCTGGACAGTATTTTAACAGCGACAGTACCCATTCCACAAGTGCGTGGTCAACCGCAAACTGCTGACCTCCATTCTAGATTTGAAGTTTTCGTGACTGCAAGGATTCATACTCTTTGTTTTTTTCGGTAAAGTCACGTAGGTAAAAAATTTAAATAAATTAACTTAAATTTTAGGTGCGACCTGGAGGTCAGCATACTTAGTTTTTTTCGGTAAAGTCACGTTGGTAAAAAAGATGTATAATTTTTTGTTATTAAAAAAAATGTATTTTAATTTTTTACCTACGTGACTTTACCGAAAAAACCAAAGAGTATGCTGACCTCCAAGTCGCACCGATTCTCTGCCACCCGTACCCAGCCGATCTCATCCTCCATCGGGTCAACACCGATTAGCACGGTTGGCTACGTACGGTGCGAAAGAAGCTCAACATATCTACAACACACACGCAGTCCCTCCTACCCCCGCCTCACTCCTCTCTTCCTAGTTCATACGCAGGTCTCAATCCCACGCCACTGAATGGCCATTGTCACCCAGTGTCTGTTATTCCAGTTTGAGAGGTCATCTGGCGACTGTGAGCACTGTAGCATATCCAGGATTTGATAGAGGTGAGATGAACACGGAAACTTGGGTGGTATGAACATGAGCCATTGGTTAGCACACGCCGCATGTTTTGGAGGTCGCTGCACGCCTCTTGTGCATAAGCTGCAGGACCTGGCGGAGGTTAGAAAGTGCTGGCGGAGTGCGGTGATGGCATCTCCAGCTCTGGCCACGGTAACATCTTGATTTTAAGTGCTCTGCAATGACTACTGGCCTGTGAGTTGTACTCGTTTCTGAATTTGTATTCAATTTCAATATGAATTTGTATTCAGAAACCATGGGTTTACAACAATTGGCATATTCAAAGATTACCAAACACATTTCAAACGCTCACATTATAACTTAAGAAAACACATCACACAAACATTTTGTGAAGTTTAATGGAACGTTAAACTCAAAAACAATACCCAGGCCACCCAGAAACCTAAATCAATCGTTCTCACACGTCATGAAAGTGAGAACACCCACCTGAGCCCTAGTCTTAGTGTTTGACGAGACTGCGCACAAATCATTCAGCACACGAGACGCGTTTCAACAGACACCTTAATATACTGGAGGCGGCCAGAGCACGCATGGCGACCATGCACATGTACGGCCCCTTTGTTAATCAACTGCTGGATGAGGGCCTCCCCACATATGTGCAAGCTGTGAATGATATTTAACTTCACAACGACGCTGGTCAGTGCGAGTTGGTGAATGTGGGCTACTGCACTGCCCCCGAGTGTCCGCATTGGCGCTTTATAGATGTGTCAGTGTGTACGTGGTGGTCGCCCATCCAAGCGCTTCACCAGGCTAAAAACATGTTTATCCCTTAGCTTCCGAGGAGCAAGCGATGGGAACGAAGCGCGCAATGGGGGGGGGGGGGGGGGTATTTGGTCATAGGCAGCGCGTGAATAAATGTGGATGCAAGATCCCCCAAGCAAGTTTGTTCTCAAGCAGTAAAACTCGCATAGTGCTATTTCATAAACATGTCAAGCAAGTTTGAAAATATACGTTAAATACTTTTGTTCAACAATTGCGTATAGGAGGAAAGTAACACACGTGCCACCATATCTGTAATGTGAATAAACATTTTCTCGGCTTGCATTTTGCATTCATTAAATTTTCTAGAAAATAACTAAAATACCACGCCCTAATTGAGACCGATAACATTGTGTACAATAACGTTCAACTACTTAACTCTCCGTTGTCACGACACCTGCTGTACAGGCTTGGACAAAGCAACCCGATCAGCTTTCATTAAAACCCAATGCTTCCATCAGTCACACAGCGTGGCCTTAACATTAAAAAACTAGAAATAACAGGCAACGTTTCAGACAATGGTCCTTCTTCAAAGCACACATTTACATTTATGTATGATGATGAAGGCCCATTTGCCCGAAAAGCCACCGATTATATTTATACATGGTTTCCTTTTAAGGCCACTCACAGTGCGACAATCGTGTTGAGTTGTTGTTGTCTGCGACTGAGCACCTCCACCAGCGGCATCACCGCCAAATATTATTGGCGAGCTTTCATGGCACTAAGCCATCTCCTCTCACGAAATGTTGACGATCAGACCATATTGCATAGCTTCAGACTTTATAAAGGCAAACGCAGAGAAGCAATCAGCACCATGTGTTGAGACCGTGGGTTGAAATGTGTAAATGTGAAGCATCTATTCCTCTCCCCAAGATCCAGTTAATTGACCCGGGTAAAGTGCAAATGTTCAGAATCTAATAGTAGCCCTCAGTGTGCGTGAGACTGGCCATTTAGTAATTATCGTGTGTCATAGGTGAGTGCATGTCTCACAAATCCAAGTCGGGAGTTACCTTGGCAGTTCGATCACTCTAAGGTCAATTCATTAGTACCGTCTTGCAGAAAGTAAACCGTGATTGCCCCACAGATAAAACCACTGATGCTATAATAACGTGGAGCTGCCCACCATAGGAATACGGGTTGTTAAATTGATGATCAAATTTTTCAGCAATTGATTACGGAATTGATAATCGGTTCGAGAGTCGTGGAATCAACGATCAGATCGCAGTTCAACGACAACGAGGATCACAGTGATTGGAGCGAGCGGCCGTCCAAACGGCACGGCCCGTTCCAGTGTGGTCACGCGACCGCCCGTTACGTACAAAGTTAAACGTATAGAACGTACAGCCGCAAGTCAGTCCACTGCTGGATGAAGGCCTCACCCACGCCCTGATGGTCATGAGGCTTGTTTGACCATACCTCACCACGCTGGTCAGTGTGGGTTGTCGCCGGTTAGTAAACCGATATTTTTATTGGGTTTTAACTTCCCCCCACCATGCGATTATCGATAACCCTGAGCCTCGTTTGTTAAGATGGGGATGTGGACCACGGTGGAACTGGGCTGGAATCGTAGAGCAGGCGGCCGAAGTGGACAGGGAAATGTTTGCACGTTACAACTTAGATATTTCATATTATTAAGTAATTGATTTTCATGCCTGACAACAGACTGAGCCTGACATTCGTTGTGGATAAAAGCTTCTCTTCGATGCGTAAAGCAAACACAACTCTTGCTGAAATAAAGTTTGGAAATGTACAGGATACACGTTTGTAACCCTAGAATGTAATGCATTGTGATATAAATGAAATGAATAGCATTTTGTATTAGCTTTTTTTTTATGCTGAGAAAGCACGGTGCCTTCTCCGTGAACTCCGAAACTGCCATTGGCGCCATCTGCCGTGAGAGTTCAGCATCGAGTCGCGGGGTATCGGTGAGTCCATCACACAGGTGACTGAAAGTGCCGCTTGCCATCCAGGTACAGCATGGATTCTGAAATGTAAAAATAGGGAAGAGTGCGCGTTACACCACCAACATCGAAACACCGCGACAGTAGTGCCCTGTGAATGAACCGGCAACATTGTAGTCCCTTGGCACACACAGCGGGAAGGGGAGTAGAGTCAAGGATGGGGAAAAGACCAGGAAAGGGAAAAGAGAGAAGGGAAGAAATGGGGGATAAGAGGAATAGGATGGGAAAGAAATGGAGAAACGGGGGGACAGGGTCAGGAGAGATGAGGAGAAGTAGGAGGAAGAGGCTACATGAGGGCCTCGACGCTGCTGCTCCACGAAGAGGAGCGGTGTTTGTTCTCACAGTGGGCGGGGAGAGGGGAGTTGTCCAGAGTGGGGGTGGCCACACACAAGTCACGTGGTCTATGGGAGGCTTGAGCTAATTTAGACAATGTAAATGAATCCATAAGGGACAAGTTGCATTTAATATGCTAATTATATTAGCCTTAATTACAAAGAAATGGAAATGACCTACGCTTTGGCAGGTTGGGTACTTTAGCACACATTCATCCGATAGTTTGACTTCGTCACTCACTCTCAACCTCAATATTTACCGTAACATAAAAGTGCGTCTCCTTCAGCCTCAGTGACAGTTATTTGGTTGGATCAAGCCTGTTGTTGTGGATGTTAACTGACACAATAACTCGACAACTTCTATCACCATGACTGTCTTAGAAGGCTTTGTATGTATGTTGAACTTCTTTCACGCCGTACTCAAAATCCTGCAAACGTGGGATTTATGTGAGGGTGTATGTGGAAATTATCGAACAGCTACTTATTTAATGACGTGCATGCACATATTTTTACAAGGCAGCCACACAAACCGGCACAAGCTGCCTCTCCAAATAAAATGGTGGTTGTTGAAAGGATTGCTTGTGCTGAAACAGCAGTGGTGGCTACGCACATGGCCTGCATTCCAGCGCCGTGGAGGCAGCGATGGTTGGTGGATTACACACAGATGGTTGTCAAACTTTCCTCCTGTGGGAATCGAGGAGCCATACTCTGGCTCGCCAGGAGAAGGCGGTACAGCAAAGTGCAGATTATCATCTGTCCCTTTTGTAGGGCAGTGTTACCCTCCTTTCACAAGTGGGGTTTTCTCTGGGTGCTCCGGATTTCTACCCACATACATAAATACTCAATAATCGGTGGAAAGCATCTTACTGTAGAGAGGAATGCAGAGCTTTGGCAATTGTTCGTAGCACCGACTCATTGCCTGGCCCGCTGCCTTCCAGCTCGTCTGCGGCTCCTCAGTGATTGTGAGAAGCAATTTGCACGAATGATGACGACGCTACACGGAAATAATAATCTATACTTTATAAAGCGCCTTTCATATTGAAGTATCCCGAAGCACTGAACGTAAAAATAAAACTACACTCACAAGTTTAGATACAATCTAAGTGAAATAGAAAGCTGCAAATAACAATAATAAAAGCAAACAAGCAAAAAACACACACGAGCTTGGCTCTTTCAGTGTTTGCTACTGCCAGGTACCCTTGTCTACGTGGCGGCACTTGGCCACGAGCCGGACGCCTTCCCGGCGACCCCTCACCTCCGTACGACTTGGGAGCCACCTTCGGAACGGCGGAGTCGGCCATGAAGGTGAAGTGGAAGACGTTGGTGGTGTAGTGCTCCTTGAGCTGCGGCACGTGCACCTCACTCTGCACTCGCACCTGGATGCTGTTGCCCTCTGTGTAGCACACCTACAGAGACAAAGATCCCCCATATAGCCTTAATGGACTGTTGGGGTAAGTGCTGTTAGCGAGTAGCACCTATGAAGGGCGGCATGGCACACGACGAGGTGGGTGGCCAGCACCACGCCCGGCCGCCTTTGTCTCCCCAGTGGCAATTGTACACACCGCACCAGGTACTCATTTGAGGTTGAGTCGACCTAGGGGAGGCCCAGGACCGATGAAGATAATCGGCACTGGTGTTGGCCATGAGTGGGAATCGAACTCAGGTCGCTGGGTTCGTAGCGCAGTGCGCCAACCGCTACACTAACGCTCCCTACCCCTATAGTAAACCCACAGAGACACACAGAGATACATAACTCATATATACATAGAGACCCGTGAAGATACATACAAGACAAGCCACAGCAGTGCAAGTGTGGCCATGCAACCCAAACTACGGACCACATAGCAACCCCACTGTGGTCTGCGCTACTTCAACGGAGGAGGAACAGCAAAACGACACCGACTCTGCTGAAGCCCTCTCGTCGTTAATTCTCGATTTGAAGTTTTCGTGACTGCAAGGGTCCATACTCTTTGGTTTTGTCGGTAAAGTCACGTAGGTAAAAAATAAAATAAATTAAATCACGACGTTTCGGAGGCAACACAAGCTTCCGTCTTCAGGTGGCACCGTAACAGCAAAATTACTGTATCATTATACAGTAAAAATAAATTAAACGTCGTGATTTAATTTATTTAAATTGTATTTTGTACCTACGTGACTTTACCAAAAAAAACAGAGTATGGACCCTCTCGTCGTGTGCAGCAGCAGCAGACCTCGACATTGGCATTCAGTTCCTGAACTGCATTGCCGCCACCATCACCTTATCTTCTTGTGTATTTATAGAGCGCCCTCGCCCAAGGCACTTTACATTGTTTAAAGACACGTGACAAAACAGAACTGTTTAGACGGCAGGGGCATGCAACGTTTGAGGAATGAGTGACCGCGACAGAGGGGCAATGCGCGGCGGCGGCGGCGGTCAGCAAGGGTTAGGGAAGGACAGGACGGAGTGGAGGGGCGCGGGGAGGGAAGACGAAGAGAATGGACAGTGGAGAAGAGGTGATGCACAAGGATAGAGTAAGTGATGTATGTAAGTGTATGTTGAATTTCTTTCGCACCGTACATAGCCACCTGGGCGAATCGGAGGTGTGGGGGAAGGACAACAAACTAAAAACAAAAATCAGTTCTGAAGAAATTAGTTTTCAATCTAGATTTAAAAGTGGACAGCTCCAGTGGCTTCGTAACTGGTTCAGTTGTGGCAAGCTCCTTGTGTGTAATGAGTGCGACGAAGAGAATGGATTCTCGCAGCCACGAAAGCTTCAAATCAAGATTATAGTGTATCCGTTCGTTATGCGCAAGGATGGAGAGTAGAACGGCAGGTACCTGAGAGTTGAGATAGAGTAGGGCACCGATCTCAACGGGCTTCTGGAAGAGGATGTCATCCACGGCCACCACGTAGACACGCTCTCCGCTGCGGGACGACAGCGCAACGACAGAGGGAGCAACGTTGGCATCGAATCTGTCGGGGTCACATCCCTGCCGTGCCACGATTAAACGAGTATTTTTTATTTTATTTTACCAGCTAAAGGCCCACCGAGCTATACAGCTCTTTTTCAGAAGCGACTTGGCTAATAACTCGAAGTGGCTTATCATCGTGTGGAAATGTATAGCAGCCAAATATTCTAAACGCACGTCGATAATAAATGTGGAGTGGAAAACCGGAGGACGAGGAGAAAAATTCACGCGACTACTGGGAGAGAGAACATGCCAGGGTCGGGCTCGAACCCACGACCATCTCCTAGCCACCACGCGTCATCATCGCTTTCTTCTGGGTTGCCATGTGGGTATGAAGTCATGTTTTTTAAAATTTATTATTATAGTCCTCCACCACCCGATGACACAGCCAATCAAATCAAGTTGTCACGTGATGGGCAAATGTGTCGGGTGGTTTGGTTTCTCACCAGACCAGAGGAGGAGAAATGCTTAAAAGCCTGAGCGAAGTATTGGACAAATTTGCTGGATGATGTTTCGCTGGAGATGACATCCAGCATCATCAGGTGTTCACGCCAGCTCAGCTCTCGCCTACTATTATAGTTAAGCAATTGACATACCTCCACGATCTAACCCAAGATAAAATAATGCATCTTAATATGGGTTGCGAAAGCCAACGTATAACAATTGTCTCCTTCATTCATACCGTCTCTCCAGACAAAACAAGTATCTTTTACAAAACACACTGGCCGCACGGCCTTCTTGGATTGCATCATTTCAGCAACATTGGTTCAATACAATCAAACACTTCTGGAGCGGTTTCGACGTACAGTGTCTCATCAGCAGATTAAAGCTTTGCTCAAATCAATGCTGAACTGCCAGATGTTGATGAGCAAGGAGCCCCTCCTGACGACTTGGGGTCCCAGTTTGACGCAAATTGATCAAACACGTAACTCTAAATAACTGTCGAGTGTCGTGGTGGTGAATATAAATAACAAAGGAGATAAGTGGATAAAACGTCTGCTTCTACGAGACGTCTGGCTAAAACATTAGCAAGCTGCAAGCACGTACAAAATCCTCTGGCACGTGTCGTGACGGTGCTGCAAGATCCGACCGTGTCCGTCCAGTGCTCGCCGAGCTGCATGAGCTTCCGGTTGCCAAACGAATATATTGTAAGGTCGCACTCGTTACACACAGAGTGCTTGCCACAAATGAACCACAATATCTCGCTGATCTCGTTAAGGAGCATAAACCATCACTTGAACCCTGGGTCATCCAGGGTTCAAGTGATGGTTACCGCATTGCGTGGTTTTAGATGCGCTTCTGCGGCCGTCTGGAACTGCTCTTCCCTCCGATATTAGGAAGCCATTGGAGCAATGCACTTTTAAATCCAGATTGAAAACGCATTTCTTTAGAACCGCTTTTTGTGTTAGTTTGTAGTCCTTCCCCCACACCTCCTAATAGCACGATTGTCTACGTTCAATGCGAAAGAGGTTCAAAATACACACACATATATACATACACATACATATAGACGTGTCAGTCTCATTCCCGTCTCACGTCAGTTCCATCTGTCCCGTATCTCGTTTGTTCCGCGCCATGTGCATCGTTTGTCTCGTCCACATCGCCTTGCGTGTGCACCGTCACAACCGCGGGGTTCCGAACAAATAAGTCGTCTTATTGGTCGCTGCGACACGGCACAGTAATCGCGCTCTCAAGCTCGTCGACGAGTCCCAATGAGGTAACAGTTTCAATGAAAATGTCATGACGTTAGGAGTTGAGTATCTGACACTTGCCAGAACACATAGGCATTGGCCCACGCCAACTCGAACGCCTTCCTCATGAGGAATCCGCCAAAGATCTTGTTGTGGATGTTCCGTTCCTGTTGGAGAGATGGCACGGGGGGGGGGGGGGGGGAGGGGAGCCATCAGCCGCTCGCACAAGCAAGGGGGCTTTCGTTGTTGCTGAAGCTGTCGGCAAAGCGCGCACTCATTCGCTCGCTCACCTGTGGATGACAGATCTGCAATCCCTTGAGCTTGGCGTTCTCCATCCACATGCTATTGTCAGGCAGGCAGCGCCCTTGAAAGCTCACCGTACTGGGGGAAGAGACAGCATTTTTGGCACGTCATTGCGGTTCGAATTTCACTCAAGGGCCTTGTCCACACAGACGGTGATGGCTCGTCGTTGGGGCTCGCGGGTCCGGGAGCTACTTGTGAAGTAAAAAAGACACCCGTAGCGAAACTTACCTGGTCGTTACGTAGATTATAAACCGCATAAACCCGCTCTCAATCCCCTCCCTCATCACCCTCCCCCATTCCTGCCACCCGTGGGTTTGTGCTCCGCCAAAATATTTACCCGTCGGTCACCGCTGCATCTTGGGATAAATGTAAATAATCCCAAGATTGCGATGGCCCTGAGGGCAAAGCCAGTGATGCCACCACCACCACCACCGCTCACTGCCGCCACCACCACCACCAACCCTCACTGCTACCACCACCATGACCATCCCTCCCTGTTACCACCACCACCACCACCCCTCGCTGCCACCACCAAATATCACCTGAATAGACAATGATCCCCCATATAGCCTCACCAGACTGTTGGGGCAAGTGCTGTTAACGAGCACCTATGAAGGCCGGTACAGCACACGAGGAGGTGGGTGGCCAACACCGCGCCCGACCGCCTTTGTTTCCCTGGTGGGCGATGTTGACACATTGCACCAGGTATTCATTTGAGGCTGAGTCACCTACTGCCCTCCACCATCGTACAGCTGCCCCACTGCAGAATCGCAGCGACCCCCGAGATGTGCTCTGAAGGGATGCCCCCAGCTGTTGCTGCCAAATGTTTGTTTGCACTTGGGAATTTCAGACACTTAGTGATATTTGATACTCTGTTGAGGGTGTGTACGCGTGTGTATGTATACGGGGGTCGTAGTGCAACTGGTGAGCACACTACGCTATGCACCTGGCCAGCCAAGTTCGATTCTCGCTCACGGCCAACACCAGTGATGATTCCTGGCTTACCCTAGGTCGACTCAGCCTCAAATGAGAATCTGGTACGGTGTTTAAACATCGGCACTGGGGAGACAAAGGCGGCCGGGCATGGTGCTGGCCACCCACCCCCTCGTGCGCTGTGCCGGCCTTCATAGTTAACATCTCGCCACCGTGGACCCCACGGTGGCGAGATGTTAACTACCTCGCCTGGTATGCAGGAGGTCGTGGATTCTTTTCCGATCCTGACACCTGTATATTTTGACTTTTCATGTTCTCCCCGTGGCCGTGTGGATTTTTCTCCAGGTCTGCCGGTTTTTCCCTCCGCATTTAGTGTTTTTTGGCTAGTATTTGGCTGCAATAAATTTCCGTGTGATGAATCACTTCGTTCAACAATCATTTGTGAGAGCCAGGTCATTTCTGAAAAATAGCTATACAGCTCAGTGGGCCTTACCAGGAAAAGTAGAAATAGTTTAATCTCATAGTTCTTTGCGAACAGCACTTTCCCCGACAGCGTGTTCAAGGCTACATGGGAGGCACGTCGGGTGGCGGCGGGGGGATCTTTGTGTTTGTGTGTACGTACGTATGTCCATTATGTGTGTACGTTTAACTTCTTTTGCACCGTACGTAGCCAACCGCGCTAATCGGAGGTGCGGGATGTGTGCACGTACCGGGTGTCGAGCGTGCCCAGGAAGATCTTATGGATGATCTCGCGTTCCTCGGTCGTCGGCGCCATTTTCAGCAGCGACGCGTTGCTGGTGTTCACGCGGCGCAGCTTGTTTACTGAAGAGAGTCACGGAGCGGCCAACAACCACGCAAGCGTCACAGCGGCGGAGGGTTGTAGTAACAAAGAAATTACTTCGTCACTGACTACCACCACCGCATGATTCACCCAACCTGTGTGTATTTAGGCTGAACTTGTTTCGCACCATACGTAGCCAACCGCACTAATCGGAGGTGCGGGACTAAAGCCAAAGATCCTCCGTATTGCCTTAGCAGACTGTTGGGGCAAGTGCTGTTAGCGAGCACCTATGAAGCCCGGCACGGCACACGAGGGACTGGGTGGCCAGCACCACGCCCGGCCGCCTCTCCCCAGTGGCGATGTTGACACACCGTACCAGTTACTCATTTGAGGCTGAGTCGAGCTAGGGGAGGCCAGGACCGGTTCAGATAATCGTCACCAGTGTTGGCCTTGAGCGGGAATAGAACTCGGGTCTCTGGGTTCGTAGCGCAGCTCGCTCACTACTGGGGACACGGCCACTGTCAACACCGCACTGGAGAGTGCGGTTGGTTCACTCACTACTGGAGGACCCCCCACACCCCGTGACACTCACTCTCCCCCCGTGATACTCACTCTCCCCCCGTGACACTCACTTTCCCCCTGCTGGAACTGCGCCATCTCCTCGGGCCCCTCGGGCTTGAGTGGGTGCACGAACGCTCGTCTGGAACGTCACAAGGCGGAGAAGCGACGCATCACACAAACGCCCACAAAATCACACACACAAACACACACAAACTCCGCACCGCGTGTCGGCATTTACCGAGGATCTGTGCTTATGCATTCATTCGACACTATCTCATACAGAAAGAGGCAGAAGAAATCAGTACACTAATTGCTGTACTGCATTCTGGAAACATTTTATCATGTGTGCATTGATCCACCAACCCTGACTGCGGCCTCCACAGCTCTGGACCGCAGACTACCACGTGCGTAGCCACCACCGCCGCCCGGCAGTGGACTTTGACGGTAAAAGAGCAGGGGCGGGGGGGGAAAGACACTCACTTTTTGGTCGCAGGGTTTCGTGCGACCAATACGAACGTAGCGTCGAGGATGGGACTCCAACCCTCGTCGCGGACCTGGGGGAGACGACGAGAGCGCAAGCACGGCAACTCGGCGCCGCACGGATGGAGACACGTGCAGCGGTGCACAGGATCGCCAAAGTATACCCACATGCTAAGATAATAACACTGGTAATAATATAGGGGTGTTATATTGATCAAACACCAAATAGACACAAATTACAAAGCATTAAGTTTGGATTATCCACACATAGTTGCGGTAAAACATGAAAACAAATATGCAAAACACGTGCCCTAATATATATCCTGACGCTAACCCCTAACTCTAAACCTAATATATACCAAAACTCTAACCCGCATTAAGATCTTAATAAGAACGTTAATATACACAGCATTCCCTCTTTATTCACCAACTTCCTATCCGTGATGTTGGCTATCCGCAAATCGCATCTGGAACTCTACACGACTACTGCACAGAGGGAGAGAGAGTAAAAGACGAGATAAAGTGATGAGAGAGGATGTGATGTGAAAAAGTTATGAGACAAAGAGATGAGAGAGCTTCTCAGACAGTAATTCATAAAAAAAATAGATTTTCGTAGGCCAATATCACTATCAGCGAAATTTGCTATTTACGAGCATCTCCAGATTGTAAATTACTCACACCGACTCGTTATAACAATTCACCTGCTTACACTTTATTCACCTATTCTTGCACCAGTTGTAGGCACTCCGATAACTATCTATACGGTCACATATGTTTAACTTCTCCCCACTCTTATCTACCTTCCACCTCACTTATTCTGGACTCGGTAGGTCTACTCTCAGCGACTCCGCACAAAGCGTCTTCGCACACAGCATCTTCGCACACAGCGTCTCCGCACACAGCGTCTCCGCCCACAGCATCTCCGCACACAGCAACCCTACATCTCCACCGTTGTCCTCACCTACGCTCCTTCACCCTCACCTACGCTCCTTCAGAGCGTAGGTGAGGGTGGGGGGACCAGCCAACACCCGCCCAGCGACGGCGTGAGGGTTGAGGTCCCGTTGACGGCTGGAGCGGCGAGATGTCTTCACTCTTCGACTCCGGCAACAACAACTCCCCCTCCGCTCACGCACACACCCGCTTATATCCCTCTGCTAATTATCCGAGACCTCTCGTGCGTCTCTTTAAGCTCTCGCCAGGCCGGCGCCTGTTGGCTCATCAATCAACCCTCATCTCCCGTCTCCCTGGCAACACCTCTGGTCTCAACGTGCACAACCGGTCGACCCCGTTTGCACCTACTTCGCCCCTTCACAACTGGCGGTTTGTCTGTGCAACCTCATGTTGCACAAGCGCACCTGTTTGCCCCCAGTTGCCCTCGAATAACTGTGCACACCGCGTATTTCACTCCTCTACACACGTATACACAGATGTGCGATCGCATACTGGAGAGTCCATGGCTCAACCCTGTGAATAATCCAAACTCTGCCTTCATGTCTGGCTCACTATGAGCTCTCATGGAGAATGCAGTGTATTCAATCCACCGGGTTGAATATGCAGCGAATCGCAATTGTGAATATGCAGAGTGCACATCGTAGCACAACGGGTAGGGATTTTATTTTACTATGCCATCTATTGCCGTGTACATCAAATGAGATGTCATTGAATCTTTGCTGATGCTATTGTGGGCATCCGACCCCGGCTTGTTACGAAGATTACCTGCAACATCTGCATCTTGACCTCCATGGAAGACGCGCCAGCCCAGGACACGTGGCCACAGAACTTGATGTCGCTGTCCGGTCGGATCACTCGAGTCATCGGGTCTGTCCCACGAGACAGACGCAACGCCACGTCAACCCCAAATCAATCGACACACGCACAGAACGGCACGTCGACAGGCACAACGCCCAGAGATATCGACGGAGAGCCCTGGCGCCTGCCTGCAGCCAACGAACGCCTTGACTGCAGCACGCTGTACGTGTCGTACAGTAATCCCCACACTGTTGTTAAACTGTGTATGAAAAAATAAGAATAGGCTTTACCCCTTCTGGCAATAAAACAGGAGGTGTGAAGGTTTTCAAACAATAAATAGATACCTATTGCAAGGCATCAAAAGTCTACATTAATGAAGAGGGAGAGAGACTGAGAGGGAGACTGAGCACGGGAGAGACTGAGAGAGATAGAATGAGAGAGATGACAATACAGGACCTGGGTTCATGAACCTGCCCGAGTGGCACTTCTGAGTAAGGCCGTAGCCATGGAGTCAACATTGGGGGGGACCAAATCTTCCAGGGGGTCTGGGGTCCCCCCCCCCCCAGAAAAAATATAAATTTGAAAACGAATTTCCTGCCTAAAATATAAAAAATTCACTAACACATAGGATGGACTTTTTATTGATTTTTTTACAATGTCTAATAGTGTATTGTATTACATTGCTGTTTTTTCTTTTTTACATTTTCTTGTTTGAGATTAGGGATTTATAAAGTACAACCATAACCACAATCATATGAACAGAAATCTATTTTATAGCAATATATTGCGGGGGGGGGGGGGGGACATTTTTAGCATATTTTAATATTGGGGGGGATGTGTCCCCCCCAATAAATATGATAATTACAGCCTTGCTTCTGAGTGTTGTACTCCATCATGACTGGGTTTTCTCTGGGTACTCGGTGTTCTCCTCCCACATTCAAAACCACCGACTGAAAAGGACAAATCTACACGCCAATGCAGAACCCTCCCCGTAAATAATCCCGAAGCTGTACGGCCTAGAGACAATAAAATTCACTGTCGTTATGACTTTCTTTTACATTTTGAATATCACATTTGCAACGTACTCAGGTGTATCTTGTCCACCATGGCAGTGACGATGGAGAGAGGCGACGTAATGGACTTGGGGTTCTTGTTGTGCGTGTAGCTGATGAGCACTGCAACAGAGATCACGACGATCGTTACAGCACCCGGAGTAACCCCATCGAACGTCACCTGCTGGACATCACCGAATGGACGTAACCCAGCAAACGACCGAAAAACGTTACGTGATGTTCAATGGGTTAGGAAACATTAAAGGGGTCAAAGCCATAAACCTTAGACCAGTTTTATACCCCTGAACTCAATAACCAGCCAATCTCCTCCCCCCTCCCCCATCCCCCCTCAACGCTGCTCCGAGGAGCCCGGAGTGGGGGACCGCGGCTTGAAACCGCTGATGTCCCTGGAACTACCGCCCGGAACGGCAGAATGTTCACCTGTACCCGTCTAGATTGAAAACTAATTTATTTAGAACTGCATGGTTAGCAACGTACGCTGCGAAAGAAGTTCAACATACAGACAGACAGAGAGACATCAATGTATGATGTGAGGATGTCGAATATTTTTTTTTAATATATATACAAAAAAAAAGTGGCAAACCCATCCAACATCAACCCGAGGAACACAGCTGAGAGCATCGCTACGTGGAGACGCTGAGTAGACCGCACGCGCGCACACACACACACACATAAGCAGGATAAGCCCATAACATGAACAAGACAGAAGATGAGAAAGAAGACATATGAAGGATGTGAACCATCTGCTTATTTACTGTTATTTATATTCTCTACAATGACCCTGATGATCGCGACGTGTTGTGTATTATATGGTTTTGTGTCGAACTAAGATCCATGTCTATGAGCGAATACTGTGATCCAATAGCCAGTATTATGATCGAATGGCCAAGAATATGATCTATTAGCTAGTATTATGATCCAATAGCCAACACTCAAGGTGCTCAACATAGTTTAAATAGGTAATATTTTAAAATACTTTTTGAAAAACACGCTTTAATGAAATATCCCGTACTCGTAATGCCAGAACTCCACGACTCCAGGAAGTGGCCGCAAAGCTTGCCATAACATAAGGGGCCCTTGTAATTTACAGCCAACGTCAGTTGAGCGTGGACAATTAGACCCAAGCCGAAACATAACACGTTAAAAAGATAGTTTAAACATTTTTTTTAAATTATTGATAGAATATAGTATTGTCATCAGTATGACACAAGTATAACACGTTTGCAGTCGATAGCACATTGGGAAGTGGGTTAAAATGGAGTTAGAAGATTTGAGGATACGACAACAGACAGAGTGAGTTAATAGCAAGCATGTAAAAAGATTGTTTAAAAATATATTTTTTTAATTTTTATGACAGAATATAGTATTGTCATCAGTAAGACATAAGTATCAGAAGTTTGCAGTCGATACCACATTGGGAAGTGGGTTAAGATTGAGTTACAAGATTTGAGGATACAACAACAACAACAACCAGAGTGAGTTAAATAAAAGCGTGTAAAAACAGTGACTGAATAGAATTATTTACATGGCAGGGGCGTGCAAGGGTTGAGAACTGAATAACAGCGATAGAGGGGTACTTAGGGATCACGCAAGGGTAGGGCAGGGATGGGACGCAGTGGAGGGGGGCGAGGGGAGGGAATCTGGCATGAGGAAGGAAGCTGTGAGTACGGAGTGGTGGCACCAACGGCGTTGGCCGCTACATGTTCATAACTAAATTGTAATTACCTGAAAATGTGTCCAAATCTTCAAGAATCCTTCCAAACCTGTATTGCAGTAGAATAACAAAAAAACAACGTTGGTTAAACACTGCCTTTTCTCTACATTAATGTTCACCAAATACTTGAAGTTAGAGAATTCAGCTGCGGTGGCGAGATGTTAACTCGCCCGCCTGGTTTGCAGGAGGTTGCGAGTTCCATCCCGACCCTGATACCTGTATATATGGAGTTTGCGTGTTCTCCCTGTCCTATCGTGGATTTGTATATCTGGTTCTTCCGGTTTTTCCCTCCACATTAAGAAACATGCATCTAAAGTGTTTGGCTGCTATAAATGTCCACTTAAGCCAATTCGTGTAGCTATCATTTGTGGCTAGGTCGCTTCTGAAAAATATATTTTCTAGCTCAGTGGGCCTTACCTGGTAAAATAAAAAGAGTTAAGTAAAAGTTTATAGTTTCCCAGGTGAAGCCAACGGAGCTATAAGCTCTTTTTCAGAGGCGACCTGGCCACACGTAATAGTTCGTCGCTGTGGCTGATATCATAACGTGGGAATTTATAGCTGCAGCCAAATAATCTAAACGAGTGTCGATTATAGGCAAACTCGGAGGACCTGGAGAACAATCCACGCGACCACCATGATGGAGAGAGAATACACAGCCTCCAAATATACAACAGGCATCGTCAGGGTCCGAAATCGAACCTGCGACCTGCTGTCTACCAGGCGAGGTAGTTAACATCTTGCCATCAAGGCATCACATCCTCCTTGTGGTATGGGTCTCCGTGCTACGGAGAAGGACCATTGCCCGTAACGTTACCTGTTATAGGTTTAATATTTTTAGGCCACAGTGTTATTGACGAATGTGTCAACACTTTTGTTACTCGCGGTGTAGGAGAGCCTATCTCACTGCCAGCCCTCAGATTGCGGAGGGACAGAAACTGGAATGAACCTCGCCGACCTGCACTGACCGGCGTGGTTAAGTAGGTCAAAAAAAATTACCCGCCCCCACCCCCCCGGAGACCCACACCACGGCGTGGGGAAGAGCCCTGGCCCAGCAGCTGATCGGCAAGGGGGGGCCTCGTAGATGCACCGTGCGTACCGGACTCCCTTGTGGAAGTTGAGGTACTTCTCGCGGAGGCGCATCTCGCTGCCCAGGGGCAGCAGCACCTCCTGGTAGCTATCCTTCATGCTGCGGGGCTCCAGCTCGTCCTGGCTGGCGGGCAGCAGCTCGCTCTGGGCCTTGCGCTCCATCGCCGCCTTGCCATGGTCACTGCAAGTCACCCCCGCACAGCCCAGCAGGAGCGGTTCATTTTATTACATGTTTAACGAATGCTTTTACGCGTGGCTGTCGTACGGTTAGAGCACCAGATACACAAGAAAAGAAATAGTATGTTTGTCGATGTTACATTGTAAGTGGAGGTCAGCCCACGTAGCCACAGAGCTACATGACAGCCTCCTCCAGCACGTGCAGGGCAACAACCAGCCCGCCCAGCACTCCCCGACGGACTTCACCGCCAGAAACAATGTCCACTAGGGTCTCCTGCTCCCCGCATTCACACAGTGGGCTGTCACATCGTAGTATGATGCCCCATCGATATTTGCAAGCAGCATACACCCTGCCCTGGTCACACCGGATGCGGTGCAACTGAACCTCCCCCCCCTCCCTATTCCAGTGACCTGTAGTGCCACTGGAATGAATACAAAACACCTGGGCAAACTGTTCAGCTAGGGCCATACACGGTCATGTCCGAGAGGCTCGCCAATCTGATCCTGACTGTGCGAGTCTCTGGGTCTATGCGTGAGTGTCTGGTGGTGCTCCCCTGTAATCCAGCACTGTGCCGGTCCTCTATTTACAGTAAAACCTTGGATTGCGAGTAACTTAGTCTGCGAGTGTTTTGCAAGACGAGCAAACATTTAAAATAAATATTAATTTGATAAACGAGCGAGGTCTTGCAGTACGAGTAGTACGTGTATACGCTTTGTCTGCCGAGCGTCACGTGATCACAACTGATATACGAGTGCTTTGATCTACGAGTGCTTTGGATTACAAACACGTTTCCGGAACGAGTTATGCTCGCAATCCAAGGTTTTACTGTATAAAGTAGTTTTTGGCCAATTTGGTAATGGCTCTGAGTTGTCCTCTCTCTGTGACCCAGAGCGAGCGAATGCGGTGCGGCGGCGGGGGTGGCGGCGCACGGTTACAAGGGTTTGGTGGATCGCGGTAAAATCGATGTGAAAATCCTTTCCCGTGGGCGTCAAGGAGGAGCCATTGCCTGCCTCGTCAGGCAAAGGTGGGTAAATCAACGTGCCCAATAATATGATCCGTCCCTTCTGTAGGGGATACAGTATTGCCCCCTCTTCGAGTGGCCCAGTTTCCTCTCACATGTATAAACTCATCTGTTGGATCGAAACATCGTAATGCAGAGAGGGCCGCAGAGATTAGGCAATTGCTGGTAGTGTCGGCTCATCGCCTGGCTGCTGCCTTGCAGCTGTGGTTCCTCAGCGATTGTGAGATTTTCAATCTGCACGATCGACAATGCTGCATATAAAACTAAATGTTATTATTGCTTTATAATTGTGGAGAGAGGAATGAAATAACAAGAAGAGACGTCACAATGCAGCAGTACCACGAGGCGTATCCATCTGGCAAGGAATTACTCTTTGGTTCTTAAGAAAAAGAAAATAATGAATTAAATAATAGCACACGACGTTTCGATTGCAACACAAAAAATCATCATCAGGTACAAATGAGAAAGAAAGCAAAACCTAGTAAACTTAGAAATATAATGCAATACAACACACCCTACCTGGTTGATTATGCTCTTCCAAAGATTGCTAAATTTAAGAGAGAGATTAAACACAGAACAGGAGACACATAGACAAACACGTAATCAAATGTATGGAATGAAAAAAAGGAATTTAGTGTACAATACTATACACGTATCCTCGAAGAAGTACTGTATACTACAGGAAGAAAAATTGTGCGGCTGAACCTCGCTGGCTATTCAGGGGAGGCTGGGAATGGCGTGTGCCCTAGCACCTGCGACGGGCCGCTTGCGAGACAAGATGGCTCGTGGAGACAAGATGCGCGTGCGTTCAGCAGCATCGTCATGAGCAGTAGTTACAATGTGTGCAGAAATCTCACAGGCAACCACGAATGGTCGAGCCACTGGGGCACGATCGTTGAACTGTACCTCGATAAATTAGGCGCGAGAGCTAAACCCGTGAGAGGGAAGGGTTTGCTGTATTACAATGATGATTATTACTCCTGCGGTAATAATCAGGGTGGCCGTTGGATTGGAACCGTGACCATCCGCTACAAGCAGCTAACGGCCGGGCCACATAGTTATGCTGAAACTACGAAGTGGCAGCCAAAGAGCAGAACGCGCACGAGAGAGCGTCCAATGCAGAGATGGGGTGATGAGATTAGCGGGTGTCCAGAAGCCACGTGGATTGTTGGCAGGTGAGTCTGTGAGGGATGGCGAAGGCTTGGGGCGGCCTTCATCCAGCAGTGAATAGATCATAGCTGCTGAGGTTGACGATGATCATCTTTACCTCCACAAGTCGGACACACCGATGATTTCTTGCAGCTTTTTCCGTACTGTGAAAAAAAGATTTGCCAAACACTTATCAAACTATTGCAAACGACACATTGTTAAAATAATCAAAAAAAATTATTTTGTTAATTTTGCCACTTGTTTTTTACGACTGTAAACGGACAGTAATGTGAACTCGTAATGGTGCGCCGCCACCGCCGCTGCACCGCATTCGCTCGCTCTGGGTCAGAGAGAGGACGACTCAGAGGCGCGACGAGGAACCACAAGCAAGCGGCCATGCGGTGAGCCATTACCAAATTGGCCAAAAACTACTTCATATATAGAGGACCGGTAAAGCTTGGGCAATAGTTTTTTAGCGCCAGCTCATCGCGTGGCTGCTGCTGCTGGTGTTGCTTTGCCGCTCGTCTGTGGCTTGTCATCTTCTCTCCACGCAAGCGAGGAGTGAACACTGTGGGGTAGTGGAGCGGCGTTACAAGTCGACGTTGTTATTATTGTTGTTGTTACAAGTTGACATTATGATTATAATCGCTGCCTGAAGAGTGTGACTGGTCGTGTAATGGACACGCGGCAACGGCTTCTATCTGCCAGTGGAGGCACGCGTTACGCTCACCACGATTGGGGTTATTTCCAAACACCGCCTCGAATGGTTCCACTTACTAATTTTCTCTGCCACGCTGATCAAATTTGTACGTGATGAACCACACGTTGGCAATCGTACACACTCTCTTACGATTGGGAAGCCAATGTCATTTGAACGAGGGCCATTTAAGGCAACTTGTAAGTGATCAGGACAAATCCGAAGATTGACCATGGACTCTATGTGCTAAGAGCGCCGTGGGCAGCAAAGCTAGAGCGTTAGTTGGAATACACATAACTTTAATTAGCAGCCCGACGGCTGAGAAAAACAGTGACTGTGTTCCCATGGGTCACCATATTTTTAGAAGTTTAAAACAACACGTGACATTGTGCATGGGGCATCCCACCATTGTAGCTGGTAGCTAAAATATCACACGTGGCTCTGATACGACCTTTGTCAGCAATCCTTTACACAGTTCACCGCACGTATTCCAGATGAACTCTACGACACTTCGTGATGAAAGTTGGCTTTGTTAGGGGATAAATGAACAAATTGGCGGTACACCGGTACGCAGAAAAAAAAAATCATGGGGTGGTTGGATGGCTCGGATGACGTTCAATCTTTACTTTTGTCCCTCAGGGACTGTACGTTTAAACAAACTGGAACACAGCAGGTCAAGATTACAAACGGACATATTACATACCTTCAGTCATTAGCATGCCAGTACCTGCACAAACGGGGGTGAGGAGAGAATGAGTATTTCAATGCAATGCCAGGACAGAGGTAAACGTTTCATTCATCTTACTTCCCCCACGTGGAGAACCGGCCCTAGACCTTTGGGGGCCCTAAGCAAAATTTGGTTGGAGGCCCCTTTGATGTATGATTTTTTTCACCCACTAGCTAGCAGTGACTCTAGGGGGCCCTCTGCTGGCCACGGGGCCCTTTGCAATTGCAAGGGTCGCTTAGTGGCTGGGCCGGCTCTGCCCACGTGGACACTAAATACCTAAACGGTTAATGTTTAAATGGTCGCGTATTATGCTTTATATTCTACTAGCTTTACTACCCGGCTTCGCCCGGGAATTGGATTCTTGTCTTGGATTAATACACGGCCTACGCGAAGGGTGAGGGGGGGGGGGATGCGTGACGTCAGCAGGCACACTACGTGACGTCAGCAGGCACACTGCGTGACGCTGCCGCTTGCGGGTGACATCACAGATGTGACGTCACCGATCACTGGCCGTGCAAAATATATCCATTATTGCGCCCCCCCCCCCAAAAAATACAAAAGTCTATTTTTATACTTTTTGCATTGTGTACAGTCTGAAACCTACCCACATGCCACATTTCAAGTTTGTTGCATATCGGGAAGTATGCTAAACATTTTTTAACAAACACTCATTCACAAATTTCCCTTTTATATATATAGATAACAATCAAGTGTATTTCTTCTGTATGGAGTGACTGAAGCACAGCTTTAGCAACCATGTTATTAATGTAATACATTTAATCATAATGTTGTATATATCAACAACATAATGCTAATATCCACACTTCCAATTAGTACGGTTGGCTACGTACGGAGCAAAGAAAGTTCAACATACATACAACTTGTTAATGTGCCACACTCGCGTGCCATTGAAAACGTGAACGTGTTAGTTTGAAAGTCACGCCCCCTGGTTGTATTCATTTGCCTGTTAAACCAAAGTCACTGAGCTGAGAGAGAATCCCTCCATCCTTGACTCCACTCCCTTACCCGTGGTGTGTGCCACGGGTGCAACGTTGCTCACTCTTTCCAATATTCTTCAGCGCTATGCTCTCTTGATGGACATCCGAAACGTGCAGAGCAGAGGTCGCAAACGGGTTTTGATTCCTTACCCGTACCCGTACCCGGCCGCACCAGGGTCGCAAACGGGTACCCGTACCCTACCCGATACCCGGCTACCCATACCCGGTCGGGTATCGGGTAGGGTACGAGTACCCGATTGCGACCTCTGGGATGAAGCCATGTTGCAGGCGCGGGTGGGTTGATTCTAGGAACTTGAATTGTGAGAAGAGACAAGACGTTGGGAAATGAGTGACAAACAGTTACTCACCAGTGACTAACGGCCTACCCGTACCCGTACCCGGCCGCACCAGGGTCGCAAACGGGTACCCGTACCCGGCCGGGTACGGGTAGCCGGGTATCGGGTAGGGTACGGGTATCGGGTACCCAGTTGCGACCTCTGGTGCAGTGCCTCTCAATTCCGTGGTCTGTGCAAGACGCATAAAACTGTCTCTTTACTTGTAATTGTATTTATTTGTATTTACTACTTACCCTCGTGCAATGCGTTGCGCACAGGTTGCACATCATTTTGCGCGTGGTTGCAGTCGGTGTTAGCCGCTGAGGTCATGACAGGTTTCCTTTCTCGTTGCTGTTGCTGCATGCCCCCTGTACCGTTCCCGATCTGCAGTAATGTGCACTGATGTTGACTTTATTGAGGGCGATATTGGCACGTAAAATCAAGATTGAAAGAATGATGGACTTGTTTGCCAGATTGTTTACACTTTGTGTATCACCGCCAACACGGTCTCCCGCCGTCTATCCTGGCAGAGCATGCTCTTGGGTTGTACATGTGGCTTTTACCTGCCACTTCAGCTGTCTCAGAGGCAGACACGTTTAATTGGACAAGGACGTCAACGGAGATTTCCTTGCTCAGGGTTTGGTGAATCCTTCAGTTTATTATTATCACCGAGTGAATAAAAAATATATTTGTTGCTAAAAACGATTTTTATTTTACCAGATAAAAAGGCCTACTGAGCTATTCAGCTCTTATTCAAAAGCGACCTTGGGCTATCAAGCCACTTCCTTGAGCTATCACAAATGATAGCCCAAGGAAGTGGCTTATCACTTGAACATTCATAGCAGCCAAATACTCTTAAAGCATGTCGATTCTAAATATGGAAGAGAACAACCAGAGGAACCTGGAGAAAAATCCACGTGACAACAGGGAAAACATTCAAACTTCGAATGCAGAGGCGTCAGGGCCGGGATCGAACCCATGCCCTCCTGTATATTAGGCGAGGTAGTTAACATCTCCTAGACGCCGTGGTGAGATGTTTATGATTTCTCTGGTTCAAAAGCCACACATCAAGGACGAGGAAAATTACTAAATGTTTTCCTCACTCTGTAAGAGAACACGATGTCAATTTTAAAAACATTCATTCTATAATTTGCAAATCAATTACTTAAACCAACCTATAATTATGTTGATCATGCTGTTAATGAATTGGAATCCCACGTGATCAATTTCTCAACGGGTTATTTTGATGATTTTCTAAGTCCCCCCGTAGAGGGACTCTATCATTCCAACTTGTAGCGCTGCGGCGGTGCCGCACGGCGCTTGCTCTGAGAGAGAGAACGAGTTGAGAGGCTTCAACCAGGAGCCAGAGACAAGCAGGGGCAGGCAGTGCCCACGTGCTAAACCGGCGCTACCAACAATTGCCCAAGCTCTGCGATCCTCTATACATATTAACCCTTTGCCATTCCAATAACATACGTGTACGTCATATTCTGTTCTCATGATATACACGGCATTGGAAACTGGAAGAAACACTAGAATAAAATAACTTTATTGGTATCGAGGCTCCCACAAGGCCATGCAGGGGGGCGTGTGGCACAGTTTGTCGCCGGCTATCAGAGCGAGGTCGTATCACGATCGGTTCTCTGCGGTGAGTTATGTCTTTAATAACAACGGCGTTACGCCTCTAAATAAAATGAACGCTAAACCGCTTACGCGTTCAGAGATTCAACGGTGAACGGGACACCCATCAATACTCACGCTATCCCGTACAGATGGAACAGGTGGAATACACATTTAGCCGTCCCGCCCGTGGGAAAGGAGTTTCACAAAGTTTTGTGTGGAACGATCCGCCAACCCTCGCTGCTGCCTCCACAGCGCTGAATTACACCATGCCGACAATGGAGGCCATTCTGACAGCAGTGCTGTAAGCAAGAAATTGACCAGACCTTGCACAGTCCCAACACCATCGGGGTCATCGCATCGCTTAGCAAAACTCTCACAAGATTAGCAGGGTTTGCTACGCATGGTGTGAAAGAAGCTCAACATACATACTACATATTGTATGATAGTGGGATGGTTGCAGTTCTTTAGCGTCAATATACTAAATGCCTCTGTTGATATGTAAACTCTGACTTTAACATAGCCACTTCCGTGACCAGTTACATGCTAATTCCTCACATTAACATCATGCTAATCTCCCAGTTGCATGCTAATTTCTGACTTTAACATTCTGCTAACTCTCTCACATTAACACAGCTTATTCAATGCTAAATTCTTCTGTTGATATGTAAACTCCTTTGTCAAGGTGCTCTTCTCCTCCCACCCAGCTTAAAATACGCTGCCAAGCTTTGCAGTGTTCATTGGAGCGCTGTCTTTCAGACAGCTGTCTTCACATGAGGACGGCTGCTTGTGTTGTGGCCGAAACGTCGTGAGAATTTTATTGTTTTATTTTTATTATTTTATTATTTCCCTTCTACGTGACTTTACCGAAACCAAGAAGATGAATCCCTGCAGTCACGAAAGCTTTAAATCGAAAAATACATACTACACTACACACTATACACTACTTTCCACTAAATTGAAAACAAATTTCTTTAGAATCGCTTTTTGTGTTTAGTTTGTTGCCCATCTCCCCCGGCACCTCTGATTAGCACGGTTGGCTACGTACGGCGTGAAAGAAATTCAACATTCATTCATACATCACTGGTTTATTTTAGGTGAGATCACCGTGCAAATAAATCGAATGCTTCCCCCCGTACTGACCTGCCGCCTGGCTGCTTGAACACTCCCTGCGGGCGCCCGCGGGGAGCTGCGTCTGCAGGTACCATCCCAGCCTGCAGGACGAGACACAAAGCCTCCATGTGGACACGCTGGCTTGTCAGGGAGCGCCCGCTAAGGTCAGCAGGGCACGCGAGCGTGCGTGGTGCATGCCAGCGTCGTCAATGACGCAGCACACACTACTCGGCTTCTCGCTTTCAGCTTGAATCCAGAATCAGAATCGTTATTTGGACCGGAGGAATCCGATGAGTTGTAAAGATCATTACAAAAACACGAGAGGAATACAATGTGTAGGAAAGGTAAACAAATTACTTAGAAAATATACAAATGCAACTAAACTATGTTTCATCTTACCAGGTAAAGGCCACTGAACTATTCATTTATTTTTCGCGGTATGAAGAAGGGCCATTGCCCGAACCATCGACTGCTTTATCAGTTTCCTTTTCAGGTGACGCACACGCAGCATTGTTGACGAATGTGCTGAATTGTTGTTGTTGTTGTCTTCCTCGTAGCTTTGTTTGCCCCGTTAACCTGAATGTGGCAGCGTATCCACCGCTGGGTGTATATATGTTGAACTTTAAAAGCCTCTCCGAGCCGTCATATCCCCCGCGGTACCGCGATGCAAGGTGATCCACCTTGGGGCCTGCACACAACCCGGTCTCATGGCTCCATCTCCACGCTGAACGTGCTCTCGGATGCGTCCACCCCTTCGGCTGCCGCTCTGTCATTAGTCCCGACCACCGGCCATCGTCCTACGGCCATCACCACACCTATGCGGCCGTCTGGAATGCTCTTCCCTCCGATATTAGGAAGCCACTGGAGCTTCTGAGGCCGTCTGGAACGCTCTTCCTTCGATATTAGGAAGCCACTGGAGCTATGCACTTTTAAATCTAGATTGAACACTAATGTCTTAAGAACTGGTTTTTGTGTTTAGTTTGTTGTCCTTCCCCCACACCTCCAATTCGTACGGTTAGGCTATGTACGCTGCAATATAAGTTCAACATACACGCATACATCATAGCCCAGGTGGCCCTTGCAAACTGGCGGTTCCGCGTGCCTCACATTGACCACTGGGTACCTTTGAAAAATAGCTTCATAGCTCATCAGATTACTCCAGGATAAATAAAAATTCTGATTCTGTCTCAATGGGTCAGTTTCACCTCCTAGTTCATCGAGGACACAACGATGATGATCCCTCATAGCAACGGGGTCCGCCCCATGCCTGCCAATACGATAAAAAGTCTCTGATTTGATCAGCTGGTTGGGAGTGCCATTGGAGAGTACCCGTGTGTATAACGGGTACCATGCCCTGTTAAGAGTGTCGTCGGTGTATACGGCATGAAAATCGGAAACATGAACATTGACAAAGAGAATGAAACAAAGCCTGAGAAGAAGTGTGGACAGGTGCAAGCATAGAATTACATGGAGACACAGAGAGAGAGGAAGATAGGGATCACAGCATTAATGCAATTCTCTCGTCCTCACGCGTGCAATTAGATAATTTATAAATAATTAAACCGATTACCATTTATGTATCATTACATGGGTTGGACGCTTGATGTATATGTGCAGGGGTTCTCCGGTTTTTCCCTCCACATTTAGAATCAACACGCCTTTAGAGTGTTACATTTCCACGTGATAAGGCACTTCGTTGAGTTATCATTTGTGGTCAGGTCGCTTATGAAAAAGAGCTCGAGAGCTCAGTCGGCCTTACCTGGTAAAATAAAAACATGTTTCGTTTCTAAAATAAAAAGAGTTGAGTTTAGTTAAAAAAAGGGGATGCACAAAATGAAACGGCACGAGTAGCGCGCTCAATACGCACAGTACACACGCAGTACACACAGTACATGCATAATACACACACAGTACACACACACAGTACATGCATAATACACACACAGTACACACACACAGTACATGCATAATACACACGCAGTACACACACACAGTACATGCATAATACACACACAGCAGACACAGCCGCATACAGACTTGATTGGCGAAAGAAAGCTGGAGTGAGAAGCACGACTTCTGCGTTTACAACCCAAAACTCAACGACCAGAAATGACTTCATGGCCTCTGTCCTCAACATGCTTGACAATATTTCAAGTGAACCGTCATTTATATAATTGATACATATAGCTGTGACAATTGTTCTTCAACTAACCCTAGGTGAGCTGAAACGATCAATAATTAATTGGCGTGTTGCACCGCTTGTACACGCGACGATTTAATTTGCTTAGCCGTGTCGGGTGGTGTATGCTCCAACGACTCACAGGTTTGGCCAGATTGTCACGTGGCCCAACCCAAAAACGTCTCAAAAACACATTCCTGCGGAGGGAGCTGGTAGGAACGTTGGGTTGCTCGGTCAATGGCCAGGGTCAACGGCGGCGTGGTGTATTCCGCAAATATGCCCGACTGTGAGGGCGGGCACAAGCCGGCGTGAGTAGGTTAAACGTTGAGTTTTATAAGGGCACCACGGGGTAACCAGCCCCTCCCCACCAAGCCCCACCCCTCCCACCCCCCACCCAGCCCCTCCCTCCCCACCCAGCCCTTCCTCACCCACCCCACCAGCCCCTCCCCACCCCCCCCACCCAGCCCCTCCCCACCCTTCCCACCCAGCCCCTCCCCACCCAGCCCCTCCCCTCCCCACGCAGCCCTCCCCACCCAGCCCCTCCCCACCCAGCCCCTCCCCACCCTCCCCTCTCCACTTAATCCCCACCCCTCCCATTTTTGGATGCACGACGGACGGACACAATAATTCCCTGTGGGCTGGTGGAACCAGGAGGTTCCTACCAGTATAAGGCAACGCATGGACCGGGTCAGCCGAGGCACACTGGGCCGCCTTCTCGCTCAGTCTACATCACGACCCTTGGTTTAGCGGTGGTGGGGTACTTTGCACGGCCCTGGGGACTTAATTAAGTTACGCCTAATTGGGTTAGGCGTACAGTGCGGTGGTGGCCAGTGAACCGAGCACTCAACTCTCATTTGGCATCAGTATAAAAGCAACACCGTACAACTCTCTACTTGTACGTTGAACTTATTCCCGACTGTATGTAGCCAATCGTGCTAATCAGTAGTCAGAAAATAATAAATATAAACGATTAAACTGTGTTTTTTTTTTTACCAGCTAAGGCCCACTTAGCTGTGTAGCTCTTTTGTACAAGCAACCTGGCGATTACAGATGATAGCAGCTCAAACAAGTGGCTTATTGTGTAGCAATTCATAGCAGCCAAATACTCTGAACGCATGTTGTATGTTGAATTTCTTTCGCACCGTACGTAGCCAACCGTGCTAATCGGAGGTGCTTCTGAATGTGGAGGGAGAAACCGGAAGACCCGGAGAAAAATCCACGCGAACACTGGGAGAAAGACACGCAAACTCCAAATATTCAGCAGATGTCAGGGTCGGGATTGAACCCCGGGACACCTCTTGTATACCAGGCGAGGTAGTTTATCATCTCGCCACTGTGCCGTAATAATCATTTTAACTTGTAACCTGCCAGGGCAGTATTGGCTCACTCTGGAAGAGAGAGAACGACTCGGAGGCACGAGGAAGAACCACAGACGACAAGTGGGGAAAGCAGCCAGTTGGCACGCTGTCACCAAATTCTCCCAGCTCTGCAGTCCTCTCTACATGCAGAGACGTCTTCATACAAACGCTGGCCATTTCACATGTGGGAGGAAACCGGAGCTCCGTGCGAGAGGGCAACACTGTATCATACACTGATGGAACAGATGGAGATTAGTCCACACTTGCTGTACTGCCTTCTCCTGGTAAGCCGGGGTATGGCACCACTTTGATGTCTCTGGGGAGCTTCACCACATTTGTGATCCATCAACCCTCGATGTCCCACTGCAATGCTGCTGCCAAGCTGAAAATGCACTCAAAATGAACTTTACCATTTAACATAGCAAGCGGTGATATGCATAATACAGGTATTGGGTTGGATCGCGTAAATGTGTCCTTACACCGGTGGCTCACGTCAGGAAAACGTGCCAATCAGTTACTATCTTCTTGGTTCTTTCGGTAAAGTCACGTAGAAGGGAAGTAATAAAATGATGAACATAAAACATAATAAAATAATATATTATAATATATGATATTATTATTATTTTATTTTATTATTATATTAATATATTATTATATTATTTTATTACGTTTTATTTTTATCATTTTATTACTTCCCTTCTACGTGACTTTAACGAAAGAACCAAGAAGATGAATCCCTGCAGTCACGAAAGCTTTAAATCGAAATCAGTTACTACTTCAGCACACCGGCGTGTTGGTCTCTGTGTAAGTCTATGCATCTCTGTGTAAGTCTATGGGTCTCTGTGTGAGTCTATGGGTCTCTGTGTAAGTCTATGGATCTCTGTGTAAATCTATTGATCTCAATGTAAGTCTATGGATCTCTATGTAAGTCTATGGATCTCTGTGTAAGTCTATGGATCTCTGTGTAAGTCTGTGGATCTCTGTGTAAGTCTATGGATCTCTGTGTAAGTCTATGGATCTCTATGCAAGTCTATGGGTCTCTGTGTAAGTCTATGGATCTCTGTGTAAGTCTATGCATCTCTGTGTAAGTCTATGGGTCTCTGTGTAAGTCTATGGATCTCTGTGTAAGTCTATAGATCTCTGTGTAAGTCTATGGGTCTCGGTGCGAGTCTATGGATCTCTGTGTAAGTCTATGGGTCTCTGTGTAAGTCTATGGATCTCTGTGTAAGTCTATGGATCTCTGTGCAAGTCTATGGGTCTCGGTGCGAGTCTATGGATCTCTGTGTAACTCTATGGATCTCTGTGTAAGTCTATGGGTCTCTATGTAAGTCTATGGGTCTCTGTGTGAGTCTATGGATCTCTGTGTGAGTTTATGGATCTCTGTGTGAGTCTATGGATCTCTATGTAAGTCTATGGATCTCTATGTAAATCTATGGATCTCTGTGCGAGTCTATGGATCTCTGTGTGAGTTTATGGATCTCTGTGTGAGTGAATGAGCTTGAATGAAAGTAAATGTGATGGAATGTAAGTGTGAATCAGAGTGAATGTGCCAATGATTTAGAGTGAATGAAACGTGTGTGAGTGAATGTGGGTGCGAGTGAAGGAGTGTGAGCGGATGAGTGAGTGATTGACAGAAAGCATGGCCGAGTGAGTGAATGCAAGCAATAGTGAGTGAATAAAAGCAACAGTGAGTGAATAAAAGCAAGTGTGAGTGAATGACGGAGGGAGTGAATACAGTGAATGACAGAATGAGTGAATGAAAGCGAGTGTGAGTAAATGAAAGAAAGTGAGTGAATGACAGAGTGAGTGAATGAAAGCGAGTGTGAGTGAATGAAAAAAGTGAGTGAATGACAGAGTGAGTGAATGAAAGCGAGTGTGAGTGAATGAAAAAAAGTGAGTGAATGACAGAGTGAATGAAAGCGAGTGTGAGTGAATGACGGAGGGAGTGAATGACAGTGTGAGTGAATGACAGTGAGCGAATGAAAGCGAGTGTGAGTGAATGAAAGCAAGTGAGTGAATGACAGAGTGAGTGAATGAAAGCGAGTGTGAGTGAATGACGGAGGACGTGAATGAGAGTGAATGACAGTGAGTGAATGAAAGCGAGTGTGAGTGAATGACGAAGGGAGTGAATCGAGTGAATGACAGTGTGAGTGAATGAAAGCGAGTGTGAGTGAGTGACAGCGTGAATGAAAGCAAGAGTGAGTGAATGACAGCGAGTGAGAGTGAATGACAGAGTGAGTGAATGACAAGGAGTGTTATTCAGTGTAAGTGCCGCGCTCCCACCTGCGAACAGCGCCGCGACTCATCGCGGCCATGACAGAACACCCGGGGGACGCGCACCCACGGGCGTGGCTCAACTCTCACGCGGTGACGTCGTCACGCACGTGCGTGGTGACGTCACGCGCAGAACGCGGCGCTTTGATGTGCCAGTGCGCGATGACGTCACGAGCAATACAAGCAGGCGTCATGGCGTAGTCAGTTGCGTAAGACATTAATATCGAGCGTGATGACGTCACACGTAATGTTGTTCTTTTAGAGGTGAGATGACGTCATCGGTATATCGTTTTGTTATGACGAGACATTTGACATATTCTCCGGATCATGAGACGCATTTATTCTGCTTGCCTTATAATCCGGTAGCTGTTTGTGTCTGTGACGAAATTTATATATCTTTATTGACACCGTGCGGAGATTAATGTGATGAACGTAGATGACGTCATAGAGGACCTTTGTGTTTATTTTGTTGTCCATCCCACCGCACCTCCAATGAGCACGGTTGGCTACGTACGATGCGAAAGAAGTTCAACATACTGTACATGCATCACGCAATAGTGCAAATAAGTGACGGGATACCCATGACGTAATGTCCAGTCCTCTCGACATTGGCGGATCGCAGCGCTATGACGTCAAATTCATCCAACGCTCTGCGCGATGACGTCACGTCACCCGAGGGGGGTGGTGATGTGCCTGCTGCGCAATGACGTACGGCGTGGTGACGCCACGACGCTGAGGTCCGCTGCGCAGTGACGTCATGTCACCTGGGGGGGTGGTGGTGTGCCTGCTGCGCAATGACGTACGGCATGATGACGCCACGACGCTAAGGCCCGCTGCACAGTGACGTCACGTCACCCGAGGGGGGGGGGGGTGTGCTGGTGTGCCTGCTGCGCGATGACGTACAGCGCGGTGACGTCACGACGCTGAGGCCCGCTGCGCGGTGACGTCATGACGCGCGCGCTATCCTCGTCGAGGCCTGCGGAGCGGAGCCCGCGCCCTTTTCGCGACGAGGAGGAGGAGGAGGCGGACGACCCGCGGCGCCGCGCGGCCGCGCATGGAGTGAGCAGCGAGGAGGGAGCGCGGCGCAGCGGCCACGCGGCGGTGAGGACGCGCGCGGAGACGCGGCGAGAACGCGGGCGGCGGGGGGGGTGGCCCCCGAGGTCCAACGCCACCCCGTAGCGGGGGGCCCTCTTTGCGGGCCGCGCTCAAGGCGAGTCGAGGGCCTCCCGCGAGGCCTTGTCGCGGTGCCGCCACCACACGCTTGCCGCGCCGCGTGCCTTCGCTGCGGTCAGGGGCACTGCGAGGAGGCGCGGGCATTGAAGCGTAAGCCCCGGCGGCAAGAGAGACGCGGGAGACGTGGTGATAGTAGTGGTGGTGGTGGTGGTCCCGTGGTGATAGTGGTGTCCGTGATATGTGATGATGACGGGTGGTGGTGGTGGTGTTGGTTGTGGTGTTTGTTGATGCTCGGTGGCGATCTGTAGAGATTGTGGTCATGGACGGTAGTGGTTATTGTGGTCTTTCGTATGGCTGATGCAGAGCAACCACTACAATTTCACGTGAAGGTGGTCAGGCCAGAAAACCGCGTCAGGAGTAGTGGAATGTATCGCTGCGATGTCTCCTTTGTGTGTGTGTGGATCGGGCATTGCGTCGTTATATGTTGCACGGACTGTTCTGGATTTGTAATGGGCAATTAATAATAGCGGGCTTTTGCCAGCTAATACCTGGGTCGGCTCCTTTTCTATCCACTCGGTGTGTTGGCTGCGTGCTGCGTGCTCCTGCTGCTGCTCTTGCTGCTGTCAGGAAACATCAAAAGGTCACGAGTTCAGGTCTCGGGCATGGGTCGGATCCGCCCATGATCGTCATCATCCATACCTTTTAGGGCGATAAAACGAGTACCATTTGTGTGTGAGGTCTGCAGCAATTCTATATGGAGAGAAACCCGCGACCCACACCTCGGGAATGTTAGATTTCTACGTCTGCCTCAGGGCTTACAACAACAACAGCCGTGTGCGTTGCATTTCGGCTATTTTGACTTGCGTTGGTTTAATTTCTCGCTTCATTGTTGAGTATTGGTCAAAGGCAGATGACCCCATGCGTATGAGAGGACATTTCTTAAAAGGCCAAATAGGTGGCCATATGTGAGGATGAGTCGCGGGTTCAATTGATGAACGTTAGCTTTGGTGCTCTGCTACTTGTACTGTAGAGATGTAAATGTTTTACTTGTAATCTAAAGCCGCCTTGACTTTCACCGGGCATGTCAGTTAAGTGAACTGTGGGGCCTGCTCAGACAGCTGCCGTACCCCTCAGTGGTCCGCGCTCATCCAGGGCTACAACACGCATGCACCTTTTTTGGGATCGGGCATGTCAGCAGAAGGAGAACTGCTTGAAAGTATGGGGCGCGCAAAGCTAGAGTGGTAAGGTCACACGGAGACAGAGGAGGAGGGAACTGATTTCCAAGGTGGGTACATTGAATTCGGGATAGAGGGAAGATAACCAAGATGGCAGGCTGAGGGAACGAGGGCTTGTTGGTGTCGTGGAGGGACAACGGGGAGAGTGGTGGAGGGCAGCAGACGATAGTAAGATGAGGGCATGGAAACATGGGCACCACGGTGGCGAGATGTTAGCTACCTCGCCTGACATGCAGGAGGTTGTGGGTTCAATCCCGACCCTGACACCTGTATATTTGGAGTTTGCGTGGATTTTTCTCCAGGTCCTCCGGTATTTGGTGGCTATAAATGTCCACGTGATAAGCCACTTCGTTGAGCTGTCATTTGTGGCCAGGTCACTTCTGAAAAAGAGCTAAACAGCTCAGTCGGCCTTACGTGATGAAAAATTGTTTAGTTTGTTTCCTACTCACTGATGTAATGCAAGGATGTTACAACATGTAACGGGTTCTCCAGTACTGTATATAGTCAGGGTGTTAAGCGTGCACACATTATTGACGTTTTAAGATATGCGTAGAACACACGCTGGGACACGCAATAAAAGCTTGCGTTCATTTCTCCTCCAGAGTTTAGCCGCGGCTGTTGAACACACCCTGAAGCCCACCCTGCATCACTCGCATCTAGAACGCATCTAAAAACGTGTTCATCGGTGGGTTCAGCTCTCATAAGACGCCACTCACACAAACTACAGTGTCATATTGATGATAATTGATAACGTCCTCTCTTTGCTTGAATAACTCATATTTATTTGAATAATCGAGGTTTGCGAGGTTGATCATGTGGATTCAAATATTTTACAAACTTTGAAAAATATGTATTTCTCAACCGCAGGACAAATAGAGTATTGGATATTAACCTACTTATTTGCGTAAATGTATGCATGCCATCCCACTGACTGTCAACCCATTTTAAGTCACCACGTGGGTAAATTTTGACTTAACTTTCATGACTGCAGGAATTAATATTATTTGGTTTTTTCGGTGAAGTCACATAGATAGAAATAGAAAATACAATAAACAAAGTGTGCGTACTGGCAGTCTATAATGTAGACTGTAGCCTGGTTTTTAAGCTGGTGAGCGTATTGGCAGTCTATAATGTAGACTGTAGCGATGGTTATTAAACTGAACCTGAGTGAGCGTACTGGCAGTCTATAGTGTAGACTTATTCTGGTTCTTTCAGTATAAAAATAAAAAAGACTGCCAATACACTCACCAGCTTCAAAACCAGTCTACCAGGCTACAGTCTACATTCTAGACTGCCAGTACGCTCACTTTTATTATTATTTTTTAATGATTTGTTTTATCTACGTGACTTTACCGAAAGAAGCAAAGAATATGAACACCTTGTAGGTGTTGAAAAATCAATTCGTGTTTAAATCCCATTTGAGTTGAATGACTATTGCTCACCAATTTCAACGTTTATGTTTCTGTAATTCCATCATGTCTCGTGTTCAGCATTAATTATGCCTTTCCTTGACAATTTTCTGAAATTGCTTAATTTATGAGTAAAAAAAAAATCACTTGGAAATTCCTTGCTTTGGAGCATCTTGTTTGCAAGGGTTTCTCCATTGACACATACATAGCAAAAGTATTGACGCATAAAAAAAACATTTATTGGCTTTAAACACTTAACGCCTGCTCTAATCCTGGGATTCTCAACTTCTGTGGTGTGGAGATCCCTCAATCTGGACTCTGCCCCTAGCCCCACTCAATTTTAAAAACATTTTGGCATATATGTGGATCTTGAACGTATAGATTAAACTGGTGAGGAAAATCTCTCAGGGTGCCACGGTGGTGCAGTGTTAACGCCCTCGCCTCGTATAGAGGAGGTCGTGGGTTCGATCCCAACCATGACGCCTGCTGTATATTTGGAGTTTGCATGTTCTCCCCGTCGTCGCGTGGATTTTTCTCCGGGTCTTCCGGTTTTTCCCTCCACATTAAGAAACATGCTTTTCGAGTATTTGGCTGCTATAAATTTTCACACGATAAGCCACTTGGTCGAGCTACCCTTTGTGGCCAGGTTGCTTCTGAAAAAGAGCTACATAGCTCATTGGGCCTTACCTGGAAAAAAAATTTAGTTAGCTGCCACTCCACCATGAGTTTCGACCACTGGCCGTCATCCTATCTATCGACGGGGTGATCGCAATTCCACGTACTTTTCTTATAAATCAATATTAAGCATCCTTTAATGTCCACTTATCCTAGCTTGAAAATAAAATACCAAACCAATCTTGGAACGTAACTGTTAACTTTTGGAAGTGGCCGCCTCTCGCACTGCAAGTTATTTGCCTGGAGACAGATATGGTCAGGAGCCAAAAATCATGGGATTAAACTTAAAACGGTGGCAGCTGCTGCGGGCATTATTCTAATGTCTTGATATTATGTTACACACAATAGCGGCATTGGCTGCATACAGAGCTGAAAGTGTTGGGATGTCATTCTGATAAAACTCCACATGTGGTTCATCAGTAATCTATCAGTAATTTATCCTGCACTGTATCCATACTACTGCCTGCATCCCTCTGAAAGACTTTCCTTGTCTTATAGGACCACTGCCCTAATCCTTCCAGAGAAACATCCCAAAGCTCTGGGAAAATAACTTGCCTCTCTGTATAGTAAGCATAAATATTCTGGCAACTTCCTGCCTCAAATGTGCTCCCAACTTAGTGTGTCCTTAAACTGACCTCCGTAATTACATATTCTATGTACACTGATATTTATACCATTATGGTAATGAGACCTTGGTAAATAATGCATTACCCATAACTTTGTTTCATGTGAAAATCTTATCTTATGTTTAAAGGAAATGTGTTACGCGTTAAACGTTCTACGTTATGATTATAAAAAATAAGGGGTTATGTATGTGTTAACCTCGCGTCAACAGTCTTACGTGCTCGATTGAAAACGAATTTATTTAGAACTGCTTTTTGTGTTTAGTTTGTTACGTACGGTGCGGAAAAAAGTTTAACATACTGTACATACATACATCTTGCACCCCACTATCGAGGAGAGCCAGTTGATACCACTGTTACCTTCTTCATCGTACCCCTGCATTGCAATCCTCGTCGCTCTTCACAGTCCGCAGGCCTCACGACCCTAGCACACCGTGAACTCGCTAAGTCCGCTCCGTGTACGTTTTGTGCGCAAACCATTTGTGCACATTTATCCAGGCGTTGGTGGAGCACGCTTATGATTTGTCAGACTCAGAGACTGACTTGGGTTGTGAGCTGGCCAAGAGCTGACAGGACAGCGAATGGGTTTGTGAATTTAATGTGTGCGGATTTTGTAGTTATCACCCCCCTACCCTAATTTGAGATTTTTCCCTGGGTACTCAAAAGCGCATGAGACTGATAGTGGTGGCTATGGACACCTGTAATCCAGCACTGTGGAGGCCACAAGAGTGGGTGGATCACACGAATTTTGTGAAACTTCATTCCCCGTGGACATCGAGAAGGCATACCCTTGCTTGCCAGGAGAGGGCAGTAGCTTAAACATATGGACTCCACCTGTCCTGTTCATATAGGATCGAGTGTTACCCTCTCACGCGCGTGGATTTTCTCTGGGTGCTCCGGTTTCCTCCCATATGTATAAACATCTCATGAATTTTCCAATGACACCTTAATATATAGTGGATCGCGGAGCTTGGGGAAGAATTTGG